CTTTGTATCTTGGACTTTGCTGAATTAGCCAATCTTAGTTAACATGCTACCATTTTCTTTTTGTTTATTAAATTACTTTTACCAATATTTAGCGAAACCTATACGTCATTCAAAAAGCGCAGCATATAATAATAATAATCCTTTCATTTGATATAGCGCCTTATCACATCTTCGAGACGTTTCAAAGGACTTCACAGAATATACTGTAAAGTGAATTGACTGTATATTTTGTGAGCAAAACGTGGCAGCCATTTGCATACAGCAGAGTCCCACAAACAGTCGGAACCAAGTTCTTTTTATTTTTGAAGGAGTTGTTACTCCCCGGAAAAGTGATCCCTCAATCGACTAACAACCGGGTTCCTATTTACTGCTAGGTAAACAGAAGCATGCGAAGTAAAGAAACTTGCCAGCCGTGGGTTGAAGTGACTAATTTATTTTTGTTTTTTTGTTCTTGAAGGATTATTATCAGGTGTGGAAACTTGCCCAAGGTTTCGCTCTGCCGGGAATCGAACCCAGGTCTCTTGCTTGTGAAGCGAGTGCTCTAGCCTCCGAGCTACAGGACTCTACTTATGTATTAGGCATAAGCAATTGAGTTAAATTTGTAGTTACATAGAAATACTAAACATAAAATGTTACAGTACAGAAACAGACCATTTGATCCAACTAGTCGATGCCAGTATTTATACTTCACGTGAGCCTCCTCCCCCTTAATCCTTTCTCGTGTACCTCTACATTTGTTTCTTCCTCATGTTCTAAGATGTTCCAACCCTTTTGATGTCGGATGTATCCTTGTAGTTTGTGTGGTCCAAACAGTGGCAATGACAGAGTTTCTTTCACTCGGAGCCATGTTGACCTCAGCTTTTTTGTTGGGGAGAACATTCAGTGTGGAATAAGTGAATGGAACAACCCTGTAACCTTCAAATCCAGTAACCTGTTCATGGACAAATCTTGTCTTCATAGGTACGAAGATCATAAAACACAAAAGCTTATTTGATGAATTAATATCTAATAAGACAAAGTTCTCAAGTTCAAAATGGCTGTGGAAACCTCCTGTACTGGCCAGGATTGAGATATCAATAGATGTAATAGTCAAGTTAATTCCTGTGTCCTGTGTTACCTGCGTTAATTGGGAGTCTCCAAGTTCTACATTTTTAGAATCCTACCAAAGTGGAAAGGGAAGGATTCTATAAATATCATAGCTCGGGCAAAGAGTCAAAGACAATTCTGTGCTGTACTTTGGTGAAGATCAAAGTTCAATAAAATTACACCTATTTGGACCGCTTATGAAATATTTCAATGTAATTCTTGGGGTCAAAGACAATATTAAGAATATGCCTTTCAAGAAAGGTCAAGCCCCCCCTAATGATTTAAACTTATTTAGCAAGACCTAAAGTCCAGGAAAGGACTCGTTCACACAGACTTCACAATCCCAGTTTCAATACCCGGTTGTCTTATCTTGGGCTGGGGCAGCAATAAGGCTATAATTGACCTCAACACCTGGATTAGGTACAGAAAGTTCAGACAGGATTCCTGTTTTTGATTACTAGCGAGTGAAGGTGCTATTTTCTTTTTGTTGTTTCACAAACTCACAAGTTGAATACACACACATACACAAACATACATGAGCTTAGCAATTTTGCTGCATCTATTATCGGTCATAGCTGTTTGTGGGACATTGACAGTGCCTTCTCACCTCAGGCACTGACAGTATCAATCTACATAGATGTACTCTACACTTCACTGAGCCAATGTGGAAACTCAGAGGCTTGTTCAAGCCTAACTCTAACTCTCTGCTTGCCACATTTCCCAATTTTTCCCTCAACAAGCTGCAGATCAACCAGAACTCTGCAGCTTGTGTCCTCTCCAGCATTAGGTTCTACAAGCCAATCACCCCCATCTTCACCCAGCTCCACTGACTTCCCATCCCCCAGAGAATTCAGTTCAAGATCCTTGTCCTCACTTTTAAAGGCCTGCACAGTCTTGCCCCACCCCTACTTCTGCACCCTCTTAAAATCTTATCAACCTGCCTACTCCCTCCACTCAGCAGTCACTGGCCTGCTTCATGCCCCCTGCCCTGCCTATCACATCATTGTTGGTCTGGCTTTCATCCTATCTGCCCCCACTCTCTGGAACTCTATTCCGGAGTCCCTTTGCCTTGGCCCTTCTCTCACTTCCTTCAAGCTCCATCTCAAAACCTTGCTCTTTGACCGTGCCTTTGGTAATCTCCCCCTCCCACCCCTTAGCACCAACCCTCCTAAATCCAACCCCCAGCTTGGGTGCAAATCCTTAACTCTTCAGTGCCTTCGACATCCTCTTGATATGAAAGACGCTATTTAAATGCAACTTTGTTGTTGTTTGTTGCTGTTGTTGTTCAATAGTCTGTGAAACATTTTTAGATATCCTCCCAATGTGAAAGGTACTATATCAATTGCAAAAATATTATTTCTGCCTTAAAGGGTCACACAAACCATTTACAATACACGAGAACCTGTCCTCTAAAAGTACTACACATTCTTACATGTTAAAAACAGAGGGAGTGATTGAATTATGGAAAAGCATTGCAGTGGACTGTATGTGTTGTTTTCAATTAATTATGAGAAGAAAACTGTTTTGTTTAGTAATTTCCAACCTTGCAGGTATCTGAAGATTTGATAAGCTATCTTCAATGGGGTTAAGTCAAATACAGATTACTTTCAGATGATATGTTTGTGTTCCTGTGCCAAGCACAAGCTGAGCAATGTGGCACTGAATCCCTCAAGTGGTCTGGAAACATTGGCTTAGTGAGTCAGAAAGTTGTGGGTTCAAATCCCACATCAGGACTTGAACTGACATAGTCAGGAGATGACAGTCCAATGCAGTGCTGGGGGCGAGTGTTGCTTTGTCGGAGGGCACGCTAAACCAAGGTCCATTCCTGTTCAGGGGGACTTTAAAGATTCTACAACACTATTCGAAAAGAGAAGGGAGTTTCTCCTGGTGTCCTGGCCAACAATTCCCCAAATAAAATTGGTCATTCATTTCACAGCTGTAAGTAGGACATTGCAGTGCTGCTGCGTTTGTCTACAAATACAGTCACCACACTTTACAGTAAATCCTGTAAAGTGTTTTGAGACGTCCTTTTAATGTGATGAGGTGCTATACAAAATGAAAGGATTATTATTATTATTAATATTAATATATTAATAATTATTAATATAATAATATCCTTGCATTTGATATAGCGCTTTTCATGACTTTTAGACGTCTCAAAGCGCCTCGCAGAATACAACAACAACAAGATTACATTTGTATAGCGCCTTTCACCTCGGGAAGATGTCCCAATATACTGTAAAGTGAATTGACTGGATATTTGTGGGCGAAACGCGGGAGCCAGTTGCACACAGCAGTGTCCCACAAACAGTTGTGGATTGAAATGACCAATTTTTTTTTTGAGGGATTATTATCAGGCAAGTGGAGTAAGGAAACTTGCCCAAGGTTTCACCCTGCCCGTAATTGAACCCAGGTCTCTCGCTTGCGAGGCAAGTGCTTTAACCTCTGAGCTACAGGACTCCATTATAACCTTGCCCTCAGAATCACTTCATATTCTCATTGAGAGTTGGCACCCCACACTACATTTGTGAAACGCCCAACAGTCGGTTTGGAGACCAAAAGCATAGACAGATAACATCACTTTGTCAGATAATATCACACAGGACCTTGGGTTAATGTCTCATCTGAAGGACTTGGCATTTCTTACAATGCTATATTATCTCTGAGTAACTGATAGAATGAAGTGGTACTATTTCAGAAATCCTGCTTCAGCTTGTTTTGCTGATGTGGTTTAGTTGACAGGAACTACAGTATGTAGTTGGTACCTCAAGACACAACCTGGATTTCAACCCAATTCGATGTGATCATTTCTTAACATAAACAGTTCGCTTTCTCGGATTCCAATCAATGGGTAATCTTACTGAACTAGTTAGCCTACAAATTATTCAGTCAATTCACTGGACAGTATATTCTGTGAAGCTTTTTGAGACGTCTCAACGATATGATAAGGCACTATATTAAATGCAAGGATTATTATTGTTACTATATGCGTTATATGTGGAAAGAATCACTGGTGCTGAGCACTACAGAAACGTTGAAACCAACCACCTCTTCTAGTTGAGAGATTGGAGGTGTATAAAACTAGAGGGTAGCGTCTCTGGCAGCTGATTAGTCAAGACAACAACGTGCAACTCCCACCTGAGGCTGTGTGCATCACTTACAATCCTGCTTTCACCTGAAATAAATGTGTAAAAAAACATTTTATCCAGTTTGCCTCGCACGATCGTCTTGGCGACAGGGTTCTGAATTATGCCAAACATTGGCGCCTTGCGTTAAATTCGAAAGATGGAGGGGAGTCCACATGTGATTCTTTTCTCAAATGGAAAAAAAACAATTTACTTAAAGTTTCACCTTTTTTCCCCTTTCAATGCCAAATGCCCCTCCTCAAATCATACCCCGTCTCTTTCTTTCTGCTGATTTCCCAAACACAATTAAGGTGGGTCTTTGACACCGAGTAATGTGAGAATCTAGCTCAGTTACAGTGAGAGGTGATGCCCCCTCCACATGGAAACACAACGTAATCGTGAGCCAAACCAAGCTTTTGGTTGCCAAGTCCTCTTCCCTGAGTCGGTCCCGCTTCTTCCTTGTCACCATGATCCAGCCCGCAGATGTGGTGCTAACATGTGTCCTCAAGGTCACAAGCGGATCGAGCAAAATCATTGGGGAATGATTCAGAGACATCTGAGTGAGTTGAGGGGAGCCACTGGCTGACAGTAATGAGGAATCAGTCGGTTCTCATTTAGACCATCACATGATAAGTCCATGAAATTGCTCATTTGGCTGGGGAGAGCCTCAGTCAGCCTTGGCTGTGTTCAGAAAGCACTTGGAGTCGTTGCACAGACATTTGCAGTGAGCAGAAGTCAGGATCTTGCCTTGGTCTTAAAACATCTTCATCCTCACAGTTAATCCTGAGCATGAGGGCTTTCCCTTTCTTAGTACTGATCGGCATCACCTTCCTGGCATCAGTCCTGGAGATAACTGCTCGCAAAAGTAAGCTGTATTTTATCCTTCTCCTCCCAGCCCTCTTCGCCAGGCTCCTCTTTCATTTTTTTTAGATTTTCTTTCCATTTCAGCAACTAACTGTTGCCAGTTGTGAACGTATAGCATGTTAAATACATTTTATCCCAGGGCCACTTGCTGGACAATTATTGATGTATATTCTGTCTATCTTCATATGAAGTTGATTGGTGTTGGTGTGTGCGGGAATCAATCTCTGGGGCTGTTGGTTGTCTGCTCTTATCATTCTTGGGAATGGGAAGGTGCTTAACTTTTGCCCTGAGCCTGAGGTACCTCTGTAACTTAATATTAATGCAAGTAACTTCAGCCCTAGAGATGGCCTGGCCTTCTGTAGCAATGTGACTGTTACCGGTGTAAAACCTTGTTTTAAATGCAAATAAAATTGGTTACCCACTCCATGGCTGTTTGTGGGATATTGCTGTGTGCAACTGGCTTCCACATTTCACCCCCGAAATACGTAGTCACTGCACTTTATAGTATATCCTGTGAAACATGGCTCGACGATGTGATAAGGCACTATATCAAATACAAGGATTATTATTATTGATAATTTAGTTATTTATTGAGAAAGGCAAACAGGACAATAGGGACAAATTGTCATAGAAGTTCCCCTTTACTCAGAGTAACGGTACTGTGTTGAGGCATACGTGTCTGCAACAGTCATAGTTTGATTCTTGTTGTGGCTCAGGTAAGTTGAAGGTACTTGCATGGACATTACTGAGTTCAGCATAGAGCTTTGGCTGAATTACCTACAGACATACGTCTTGAATGGTCTATTACTATTCAAGACCTTCCTCTTTGACTATGCCTTCAGACACCCTCCCATCTCCAACCCCCTACCCTCCACCCATCTTGATTCCAACCCTTAGCTTGGTGCAAACCCTTAACTGTCCAGCAGCTTGGAACATCCTTCCAATGTGAAAGACGCTAGATAAATGTAATTTTGTTGTTGTCTACTCTCAAGTGAAAAATGGCCACAAAGCTTCCTGCAGAATTCTAGGAGTCAGGAGGAGCCAATAGAGGTGGAGGAGGAGAGGAAGCAGAATGAGGAGAGGAGAGTAAATTAGGAAGAGGAGGAGATAGAGAGGAAAAGAACTGACATGAGGAAAAGTGATAAGCAGTGCAAACGGTTGGTACTCTGTGTGTACAGTGTTTTCCTGCTCCGGTGCACAGATACAACTGTCTTTGTGGCTGCTGGTTTGCTCGTTGTGAAATGTTCCCAGCAGTAATTACCAGTTTGCTTGCTATAGATAATTAAATTAAAAAGCTGGGCCTCAAAACAAAAGCGTACATTCAGATAACCTCTGAACTGGTTGAGTGTGTATCATTCTCTGTAAGTTTTATTTATTGTGAAAATTCTTGCAGATTTACCAAAGTTAGCACTTTGTTCAGTAAATGCACTTTGTGGGCTATGAAGCTATATGTTGCACTTTAATCACTGTTATGATTTAAAGTTTTGTTATGTAATTTGTTTTCAAGCAGAGCATTAAACAAGAGCGCTATCAATTTCCACACTGCTAATATCCTGTGGATCTGTAGTCATCTGACAGTCACATGAAAAGGATTAAGATTGTTTGCCTCTCTTCCTGTAACCCAAACTGCTCTTGTTTTCAAAAAATTAAATCCCAATTTGAATATTTTACAGATAGACTTATAATAATAATCCATCCCTTTGATTTAGCACCTTATCACATCATTGAGATGCCTCAAATGCTTCACAGAATATACTGTAAAGCGAATTGACTGTATTTTGTGGGTGAAATGCAGCAGCCAATTGCACACAGCAGTCATGAATTGAGTAACCACATTTTTTCCAAGGGATTATTACTCCCGGAAAAGTGATCCACCAATCGACTAATCAGGTTCCTACCTTACGGCTATGTAAACAGAGGAGTGTGAAGTAAGGAAACTTGCCTAAGGTTTCGCCCCACCCGGGAATCGAACCCAGGTCCTCTCGCTTGCAAGGCGAGTGCTCTAACCACTTAGCTACAGGACTCCACAATTATGAGTTCTATTTCAATATTTTAGAATTAGCAGAATTATTTGATCTTGTTTGTGATGCTGTTTCGTCTCCCTTTATATTTTGTAGTTTTTTTTCCTATATTAAGAAATTATTCTGTACACCAGGTTGAAGGAATGGAGGGATATATTGTAATGAGTTTACGTACTGTACTTGCCACTGACCTAGCAACAGGGAAGGGATAAGGAATGCAATCCTAATTCCTTAAATATTGACTTTTTAAAAAAGGTAATGATTGTATCATGTTGGCATACAATGCTAATGCTATTCAATTGATATTATTTGATTAATAATTCTATACAGAGTACTTAGTTTACTTTTTTTAAACAATAAGTAGCTCTACAAGTGAAATTGGGGATAAAATAGTAGCAGATAAATCTAGTGTTTAAAAAGCAAGTGAAGAATGCACTTTTCCAACCATTTGTAAATGTCAAAATCACTCGTACTGTTTAATAGTGTGTATTAGCACATTGTAAACCAGAGGAGAAAACATTGGTTGCATTTACTTTCCACATTCACTGCTCCTTCATACATGGTGCTAACATTTTCTCTAATTTTTCTGACTTCAGTAATGTACGTGAATAAGTAATAAGCTAAATAGAACAGTCACATGACCTGAAATCTCTGTGCAGGTGCTGGGGTTTGGAAGCATTGATATAAGTTGGATAATGTGCACCTATGCTCTACACACTGTACAGTGACCAGATAAAAGTTTAGCAATCAAAACAAAATTTTATTTATTCCGATGTGCTTCCAATTATTTCTTTGTTTTGTCAGGTTACCGTGACGTGTTAACCCATGGAAGGAAATTGTTCTTCACCTCTCGGCATTCTATCCATCTACCTGGATGGCTCCCTGATAGCAATTCCTGGGATGACCAAATCTATCCCTCTTGGAGGAAAAACGACATCCGATGGAAACACTGTTGGAAAGGTAAGTAAACGTAAAAGTATTTTTGTTTGTATTGCAGGGATTATATTTAGATGGGTAAAATGTTTCCTCTTTGACGTTGAATCTTGCTTAGTTAAAGATGAGAAAGTTTGGATTGTTAATGGTCATCTGTGAAATAAGCATTATTTTTTCCACACCACAACAGCCTGGCTCAGTTGGCAGCACAGACAGTTGTAAGTTCAAGCCTCATGTAGGGCTATTAAGTTCACTGTACACTGTTCACTGCTCACTGGTAGAGCATTGCATTGTTGGAGGTGCTCATTCCATGGAAAAAATGTTAAAGCCAATGTTCCATTTGCCCATTCAGATGGATATTAAAAATCCTATGACATTTTTTGTAATGAGAAAGGAATTTCTCGTGGCTTTCTGGCCAACCTCGGATAAAATTAGTCATTCACCTCATGATTAATTATGCACAAATTGGCTGCTGTGTCTGCCAGCAAATACAGTCACAACACCTGACAGCATTTACTTGTGAAGTCCTTTGAGACACTTTGATGTTAGAAGTGCTATATAATGTATTATTATAACTGTTTTCTGATTCAGCAACTCATGATCAGAGGCCTCTGTAGTGGTGCGAGAAATGAACATTGACGCTCTTGCAAATTTGTTTTGAGGCCTGTGTTGGAAATATAGGACACCTGAAACATTTATGCCACACTGTTAAGTTCATAAGTGTAGGCACACATTGTGCCTCAAAATTGAAATACAGACTTGAGTTATTGGTGCAGTGGACCTTCCATACTAGATGCCAGGCTTGCCAGTGCTTTCAATGACAAACAATACAATTCTACCTGGTTAAAATCCAGCAGTACCCTAAGCATCGAAGCCTCAGGTATTCCCAATCTGCGACCAATGCTCTGTAGAATTAGGTAAACAGGATGCATCCCTCCACCGAGAGTTTCATTCCATTCCAAATATGGGAATTTCTATTTCTAAGTGCATTCAGGGAATTCCAAGTTTGGTTGAGACACTCAAGTATGGTGATGGGTTTCCGCATATAATAATAATAATAATAATCCTTGCATTTGATATAGCGCTTTTCACGTCGGGAGGACGTCCCAAAGCGCTTCACAGAACACACTGTAAAGTGAATTGACTGTATATTTGTGGGCGAACGCGGCAGCCAATTGCGCACAGCAATGTCCCACAAACAGTCGTAGATTGAAAATGACCAATTTATTATAGTTTTTTGTTTTGGAGGGATTATTATTAGGCGTGTGGAGTAAGGAAACTTGCCCAAGGTTTCGCCCTCTGCCTGGAATTGAACTCGGGTCTCTCGCTTGCAAAGCGAGTGCTCTAACCACTGAGCTACAGGACTCCACAAAGCCAGCTGACCAAAATAAAATAATGGGATGCAGATAGAAAGTTATTTGAGACATACAAACTTTATTTTTGCTGTGTGATATAGTCTCTCAATGGTCTATTGGGTAATGGCAATATCTGATGCATCACAAGACCATATTAGTAGGTCATTGGTTTGAGTCTTAGTCCACACTGAAATTGGTTGATTTCACATTAGGCCTGAGCATGTCAGTTAGAGAGGGGAAAATCATCCAGGGGTCCTGTTTCCGGTCGCTATCCTGAGCCCCTGTGGGAAGATAGGTGTATGGGCGTGCTGATAAGGATAGTATTGGGTTCAGCTGTTATGGTTCCCTGTAGTCTAATAGCCTGCCACAGGTTTCAGAGGTGACTGGTACTTGTTGAACCTTTTCCGGTACGAGGCAAAATTGCCTTTACAGAGGATGAAGGTTTGGGGAGGACAGGACAAGGGGTGGGGGGACGAAATTGGGAGGAAACAAAAAGGGAGGTGCACGGCACTAAGACATGCTCAATGCAAATTCCTGTCCTCAAGTTGCATTACATTCAATGAAACAGCCTGGGGGGGTGGTGAGGAGTGGGGGTGGTGGTGGTTGTGTGTTCGAATTATCCATCTGAGTCATGAATTAAAATGAATCCAAGCCATTATTTATTCAGAAAATGTATTTTCTATTAATCAGTGGATGAAACAATTGTGATATGTGTCATATCACAATTTAAGAAAAAAGTGATACACAATAATTATAATAATAATCCTTGCATTTGATATAGCATCTTATCATGTCTTCTAAACGACTCAAAGCGCTTCACAGAATATACTGTAAAGTGAATTGACTGTATATTTTGTGGGCGAAATATGCTAAATCGTGAGGGCATACAATAGCGCTATATGCCTAAGAAATCTACAGCTGTAAGTTCCTCCCAGGGCACTAGCTAAACCTTCTACAATTAAGACTTCACCCACAAACACACAGTCACTGCACTTTACAATATATCCTGTGAAATCCTTTGGGACCTATTCCAAATGTAAGGATTATTATTATAATTTTCACAAAATTATGCCAGATCTTTGAAAAGATCTGCATTGTAAGACTGGAAACATGAAAAAGGCTTTCCCTTCTATTGGGGAAGACCTTAGTTTATGAGATGGGTTGTGGTTAGTATTGTTACTTGAATCGGACTTGCTGGATCCTGAAAAGCATGAGCTGGGGGGAGGGTAATATTTATCTTATTATCAAAACCAGCATCACCTTATGCTGTGTGTATGTGCTCTATTCACTGTGAAACCACATGAGCTCCATAATTAAAATAAATAATAATTATCCTTGTCTTTGATATAGTACCTTATCATGACGTTGAGGTGCCTCAAAGCGTTTTGCAGGAATTGTTTAGAATTTGTATATCATATGCTCTAATCTTATTGGTTGTTTTGCTCTTTCAGGTGGAAAAGTAGTAGCTCACTTGACCAACGATGGACCGACCCTGGTAGGAGCAAATGTAACCTTTGCTGTCATGCTCGAGTTTCCCAAATGTCAGAAAGAGGATGATAATGGCGATATAATATATGATTCAAACTGCAAAAATGGTAAATATGCTTATAGAGTGGAACAGACTTGGAAATGCTACGTAGGAACAAAACTTAGCAATGTCTTTTTTCTGCATTTGCAGCATTTCAACAGGACATTTTCTCTCTGATCTTCTACCCTACTCCTCCACTTGCTCCATCTGCTCAGCTAACTCAGGTTTGCTGTGCTTCCCCAGCCTCTCCATGCTACCCTTGATGGCCCAGAACTTCAGATCTTACATCCCTAACCTCCATCTACTCCTCCTTCTCTATGTATCTTTATTTCCCTCCTCAAAACCTACCTCTTCAAACTCACCTATGGCCACCTCCCCTTTCCCCTTCTCCCTTCCTTATTGTTCAACCCCATTCTTGTAGAGTGCTTTGAGACGTTACTCTATGGGAAAAGTGCTATAAATTCAAGTCGGTGTTGTATGATGAAGATTGCTTATTTCAAACTCTTCGTAAGATTTTCTTCTGTATTACAAGTTATAGGTTTGATTCCTCTGTGTGGTATGAATCACTAATAGTGGTAATAATAATAAGTTTATTTATTAATAATAACTATTGTTTACTTTGCAGCCTCCTCATTCTTTCCTGGTCAATATGTGTACAACTGGACATCTTGGATTGATGACTATGGTTGGTTTAACTGCACCAAATTTACCAAGTGTAATATCTTCCCAGATGGTCATCCTGTCCCCAGACACACAGAATGGAGGAGAAAGAACTTTATTTATATCTGGCACACACAAGGTTGGTACAGTGAACATTTCTTTCCAGTCTCAGAGATCCTCTGGTACAATTTCTTAACCAAACCTGTTTCAAATTTAGGTCAATATTATCAACAAACTGGTGGCTCCAAGATGATGCTCTCTGTCAATACAACTAACATCACACTCGCTGACCACATGATGGAGTTGTCTGTCTACCGAAAAAATCATCATGGCAAGAACAAGTATATTCCAATTACAACAGCAAGTGACCCATACACTGTTACAGGTAAGACTAGCAAGAGGATTGGGTTGATCTTTTTATGGAGTGTGCATTGGTTTCAAAATGTTTGTGTTCACCCAAAAAAGATAATAATAATCCTTGCATTTGATCATGTCTTCAAGACTTCTCAAAGCACTTCACAGAATATGCTGTAAAGTGAATTGACTGTATATTTTTGTGGGCAAAATCTAGAACCAAAAGCCAGCAGCAAAAGCAAGTTTACTGCCATGTCTGCCGGCAAAATACACAATCACTCCACTGTACATTGAATCCTGTGAATCGCTTTAAGATGTTCTCCTGACTTGAAAGGTGCAAATGATTATTAATTATATTTATAATTAAGTGTAATGATTATTATTATAGTTGGCTACTATGCCTGTAGCCTACAAAAATCAATCCAGTGTATTTATCATAATAATAATCCTTGCAATTCATATGTCACTGATTCACATTGTCAATATGTCTCAAAGTTCTTCATGTGATTTTTGTAAAGTTTGCATAGTTTTTTGTATGAAATGAAAATGAATAGTAATTTTATATTTCCTTGACTGAAATATAATATACAGGTTTTCATTCATAACATAAGCATAAGCACTCTGGGACGCTACCCCGCGTGAAGGCCGCTATATAATGGCAAGTTCTTGTTGTATAAGACATATTTCCCCATTGTAAAATGTATTTACATTCTCAAGCCTGAGTCATTAGTACCCAGAGGATTGGCTGCTTTTGCTACTTTAGAAGATGTGCTGATTGTTGAGCATTAGGATTGTCGGTACCCGGTTTCGTATCTGCTGGAGACATGTAGTCCGGTTTATGTTGAAGACAAATTGAGGAGCAAAACCTGAGTGCTAGATATCATTTATTGTCACAACTCTATTAAACATGATAAGTTTTTACCTTGTATTTCTGGTTGTCTTACTGTAAAGTTATTTTATCTTCCAGACAAGATTCCAGTTTTCGTGACTATTTCCCAGAAAAGTAAATGCAAGAACGATGAAAATGTTTATATAAAGAATCTGAAAATGATTTTCAATGTAAAAATTCAAGATCCCAGCAACTACCTAAAGAAGGCAGCCATAACCTACCGCTGGAATTTTGATGATGGAAATGAGTCCGTTTCAAAAGTCCGAACTACAACTCACAATTACACAATGTTGGGGCAATACACTCCTACTCTGACTGTTGAAGCAATCATACCAGTCCCTTGTAGCTCCATTAAAACAACCACGATGAGTCCTACTACTACTACACCAAACCCTACAAGTGGTAGGCTTGTGTTTTTTTTCCTGATTATTCAGTGAAATATCAAAATTAACCTTGTACATACTATAAACATGTAACAATTGTTTAAGTTCAGAATTAATCCTTGATTTAACTTGGTAATTATTAATATAGTTTTCATTATTCTAAATATTCCTCAAATAGGTTTATCTTTACAATATATCTTAATGCAAAAGTATATAATGGAGTTTATTTTTATATTCCTAATATTGCTGGAAACTAACCCTGGCCATAATGTAACCCCTCCTGGTTTTGTGTTCGTGATAACCACTCTGAAAACAGCAACTACTCCAGAACCCACAACTACTGCAGAAATCACCACAACTCGAGAACCCACCACGACTGCTGAATCCACTACAACTCCAGTACCCACAACTCCTTCAAAATCCACACATGCTTCAGAATCTACATCCACTCAACAGCCTACAAACACTTCAGAACCCACAAGCACCATGTCTCCTGCAACAAACTCCAGTAAGTGTCTTGTCGTGGGAGAAGAGTTTAGAAATCAGAGTGAAAATTGAATAATACTCGATGCAAAAGAATCAAGACTCAGAAAAGATTGAATGGAGATCTTATTAAATATCTTATCCTTTTCAAAATTGATATATTGTAGTTCATCAGTGGTGAGAAAGAGTTAATTTTGTAACATTGTTGTTTGTAAACTAGCTAGATTTGCCTCATAGAAAAGCTATCAATCTGATTTTATTATTCAAAATATAGTGATAGTTCCTGGTAATAGTTCCACTGATTCATTCTTATTTGAGATATTGACCTATTTCAGAAAACTGTTGTTTGGTATTTACTTGTAAAGCAAAAATCTATTTGCAACTAATATCTCCTTTACTGTAAACACATCCTCATTGACCAAACAGCATCAATTTGTCATCTGTACAACTTGTTTGCACCATTTCAGCTACTGGCTCACCAATGACCATGGGTAACACCAACTCTACGAGAAGGCCAATGCAGTTGGCAAGGAGACGGACTCCCTGCTTAGACTGCTATATCTCCCGATATGGTTACTTTAAAACAAACATCACTATTGTTGGTAGGTATTTCTTTCTGAAGGTGTTGTGCAGTTACAGTGACACTTTTTGAGGATTTGTGAGTTAATCAATTCGAATTTGTAGTTATGAAAGCTAAAGCCTGCCCAAACAATGGGGCAGTGACATAGCTAACTGGTAAGTTTTTACTGTTAATGAAGAGCTGGTTGTTTCACCAGCTTTAATAGCATTACACATGTTAAGGGTCATCCAGTCGATCAGATGGGAATTTTTAGATTGTAAAATCTTAAGTAAACAATTGCAGTTAGATTGCACTTATATTACATTTAATGCAAAGCCAAATTGGGATTAGATTGCTCCTACAACTATTCCCTCAACTGGATAGAGAAAGGATTAACAACAACAACAACTTGCTTTTATATAGCGCCCCTCGTGCAGGGTAGCATCCCAGAGCACTTGACAGTGGCGGAGCATGACACCGAACCAGGGGAGGTAGAGGTGTCTCTTAGGCACGGTTGAATAGGAAGGTCTTCAGGTGCGACCTGAAGATGGGGAAGGGAGGGGCAAGATGGAGGGATAGAAGAAGAATGTTCCAGAGTTTCGGGACCTAGTGGCTGAAAGCACGGCTACCGATGGTGGAATGGGGGGCATGTGGCCAGAGACAGTCAAGCGGAGGCTGCGGGTTGAGGGGTATGCACGTCAGAGAGGTCGGGAGGTGCCAGGGCATGAAGGGATTTGAAAACGAGTGTGAGGATCTTGAAATCAATCTTTTCGGCGATAGGGATCCAGTGGAGCCTGGCTAGAGCTGGTGTGATGGGGGTGCGGAGTATAGAGGAGATAAAAGCCACAGGATAGGAGACATTGATAGGAGCCAATGAGTATGGCTTCCATCTTGTCAACATTTAGATGTAGGAAGTTTTCGCTGATCCAGGCCCTCATGTCTGCCAGACCTGGAGTCGAAGCTGGAGAAGAAGATCATATGTTGTATATTGAGATTGTGTCAGTTTAACAAGGAAATCATGTTGAATTGACACATGGTCTAGTAGTTCTACTGAATATTGTTATAATAAAATAGGAAAAAATTGGACTAAACACTTTACAACCGCTTGCTTGTAATTTTTTTTAATGCAATAGCACATGTCTCTTAAATGCTTTTGTAGAATTAAGATTGTAGGTATATGTAAAATGCAGCAGAATTTTTTTTTATCTTTGTCAGATGGAATACTTGAAATGAAGATTGTGCAGATGACCAGTGTTCAAGTTGCCACACAACCTCTGGCAAATTCCATGGTAGACTTTGTTGTCACATGCAATGGCAGGTATGGGGCTGACTTTATTCAAGATCACATACTTACTTAAGAACATAAGAAATGCTAGCCAAAAAAAAGACCAAGGTCCATCAAGTTTGTCTTCCACCTTCCTGGCGGTCGCATGCACATATGTCCTGAACTACCTATGTACTATATCCCATAATGTTATTTCCTAAAAGAAAACTATCTAATCTGTGTTTGAATGAATCAACACTTCCTGCTTCAACCGTCACCCTCGGGAGCCTGTTCCATAGGTTTACCATTCGCAGGTTTACTTACAGTTATACTTGTCGCTGTTTCTTTTACAAAGAATAAAGTAACTTGTCATTGGCGATTTGTAGCATTGTGAGACATTCCCATCTGAACTGTCCAAGTCAGGAAAAGCCTTTCCACGCTTAATTAAAAAAATTGTAGTTTAACCAACAGATGATTCAATCATGGATGAGTAAAAGTTATTCTATGAATATTGTATATAACCTCTTTGGAAAGGTTAGATTCAATTCATTTACTTAGGCATTCTCTCACACACAATTAAACACTAATTGTCGCTATCATATTTATGGAGAAATCCCCCACTCTGCATCAAAAGGTGGGGTTGGGGGAATCATTTAAGTATGAAATCCCATTTCTCTGTGTTCTATGCCACTGAAGATTTTAGTTTTGGAGAGCATAGAGATTGGTGTAGATCAGTTCAAAGCTGGTTAGATCAGCAACATTTCTCTTGTTTTAACATGTATTTGTTCTGATTACACTCAACACACAAAACTTCCTCTCAAATGCACTGGTGCTGGATCTTGAGCTCAACCCTATATGGCAGAGGCTGGATGTTCAATGCACACTACCTAGTAGCATAAAGACATAGTATTGGCATCTCTTAAGTGAACATCAACTGAGCCTATGGAAGTAATGATAGTAATAATCTTTGCATTTGATATAGTTCCTTTCATGCTCCTTTCACGAGGATATCTCAAAGTGCTTCACAGGAATTACTGTAAAATGTATTGATTATTTTATAGCTCAATGTAACAGCCAATTTGTGCATAGATTTTCATCTAAATGCGATCGAAATTTATAGACTTCATTGGAGAGCCTGTTTAAACTTCCTTGTATTTCTATATTTGCCCACAAAATACACAATCAATCCACTTTACAGTACATTCAGTGAGACGCCTCAAAGATATGAAAAGCTGCTATATCAAATGCAAGGATTATTATTCACTGAATATTGTCTTCAAAATAACATAGGTAGTTATAATCCAGAACCACGTCTTATCGAAAGCCTTACTTTTATGGACATTTTGTGTCTTACAGTATCCCGACTGATGTGTGCACTGTGATTGCAGACAAATCATGCATGGTGCCAAAGAACATCATTTGCGATCCCATTAAAGCAGCTGACATATGCCATTTTACCCTTCGTAGAGGATTCAACCAATCTGGGATCTACTGTGTGAATATTACATTAAGTGATAATACTAGCTTAGCTGTCGCTAGTACTCTAGTATCAGTTAAAGGTATGTGGCTATTTGTGCCTTCACTTCTTTACGTAATGAGAACAATTAATTTTTTGGACTTCACTATGTAAAAATACAACATTCTATTACAACTATTACAACTGTTGCAAATTGAGGTTTCTGCTTGCACTCTGGTTACTTATCCCACAGCCTGATTCAGTGCCATTTGTGCAACATAACCATTGGATTGAGTTTGTATTTGAGATCACCTGATTCCCTTCTATAAAGGCATGGCATGTATTCAGAGAAGACCACTCTTTGATTTTGTGATGCACAGAATGATGACAGGGAGTACAGAAAAAATACAAGTCCAGTTTTTTTTTGAAGAAACATAATTTAGATTAGACACAATCCCCTTCACAAGTATACCCTTCTTTGTGTTGCTCCTTTTTTTTCCTTTCTGGCTCTCCAGCCACCATTTCAAGATCCTCATTGCCTCTTTCAGATCAGACACTATATGTGCATATATTTAAAGCATTTTTTATTCAAACACTTCCCTGTCTCAATCACTGCAATGATTCCTAACTGAATGTCAATCTGGATGCTGATCAATTGTTTCATTGGCCACCTTTTCCCCTTTGTTTTTATATCCTTTGACATCTGTATTGAGTTCTCCCTCCAAAACTGATCTAATTCTTCACAGCAACTGTATATGTTAAATCAGCAATTAAACTTCTCAAACTTGAATAAATGTGAACTGAGCACTTATTCATGCTTGGGACTGCTTTGCTTAAACCAGTACTTTGATAAAATTGAGCGACATAAATCACTTTATAGGGTAACATAATGGCCACATTTCTTGTCATTTGACTTTGGCCAGAAATGGTTGCCAATTCCTTCCCAATCTTTGAAAGGGACACTTGTCACAGAAAACAGCTGAGACAGTGATGTGAATGAATCAAGGCTCATGGTGCATTAGAGGTTAATTGGCCTCTTTCTTTGGACATGAAAATTCTCAGGAGAGATTTTCTCCCTCTTCTTGTCTGTTGACTAAATGTAATTGCTCCTCTTATTCTTCTTCCTGAAGGTACAAATTGTATAAACTGTCCTCCTCTTCCAAGAGGCCATTCTTCTTGGACACTGAGGGTGTTGGGAGGGGGTGGTTGGTAACAATTGGTCCATAAGAGCTGAGAATAGTCTTTCCCCATATACATCAATACAGTGTGTGTGATAATGGTTAGGAATAGAAAACTGGTCTTTTTCTCTCTTCACGGAAAAGGTGGCTTTTGCTGACATTTTAGAGCAAGAAGGATTCAGTTGTCTCTTCTGTTGCTTGAAACTACAATAGGAGTTGCTATCACACTTGTGCTTGAGCCAATCATTGCTTTTGGCCAGGGTCATATGTTTCCTTTATTATAAACCTTACTTCGATTGTGAAGGAGAGAACAATAAATGAAGGTTACTGAAACACGAAGATCCCAGAGAATGAATGATGTTTGCGTGGCCCATGTTGTTTTTAAAAAGTAGATGTTTTGAGGTTCAAATTCTGATTATAGTTTTAAACTTACAGGTTCAAGCAATGCTACAATACAACAAACCATCCTAATACTTGGTGCCTGTCTAGTGATTCTTATTATTGGTGTGACTGGCTTATTTTATAGGTAAGTTTAATTCTCCTCCAGGATGAGAGAAATCCTAAACTGTTTTTTGGAATGTTTCTATTGCCAACCAAAGCATTTACAAGATATCAGAATGAAGAGTACAGTTCTGAAACCATTCAGGTACCATTCCCTCTCTGAAGACAAATAAATGCTTTTACTGTTCCATCTCTAAAGTAATTGGGTGCAGTCCTATATTTGCCCAAATTAAATTTCAAAATGAAAATCTTTCAGTCTAAAATTCTAACATCTGTTGAAATGAGTGTCTCTGGTGTCTTTCCAGATCACATAACTAAATTGGATCCTGTATGTCTGAATGGCTTGCTGTAGGTTCTATGTAGTTCTATTGTGTACAATCCAGTGTTCAGAAACTTAAAAACACTGATAGATTATTTTTATAAACTTAAGGTACTTTGGAAAGTATACCAATCAGCTGTTAACCACCCAACATTAAGATATAGTTTAATATTGCAATAGGAAGATGGTATGGTGGTGATCTTGAAGGGTAAGAACATATGGGCTGAGAGCTTTCTTCATCCATACCTACCTTTTAATTGTGTGATGCATCTATAACTAATTCTTACAAACATTAGTTGTGACCAGTTAACCAGTTACTGTGAAATTACAGGTGCAGAAATATTTCCTTTCTTTTGGGTGATTTTTTTTATTATTCCAGTTGCAAAATAAAGTAAAATGACCAAAAATAGGTCAATCACTTCATGTGAACATTGCTGTGTGCAAATTGGTTAATGCATTTCCCCACAAACACCCAGTCATCACACCCAATAGTAATTACTACAAAGTGCACTGAGACATTTCAATATTATATTATTATATTCAATAGTATAAGGGCTTCATTTATTATTAGCAACACTGTAAGCTTTTCTGGGGAGGGGGAGGGTGCATGGGGGACAAGGAAGAGACAATAAATTAGACAAAATTTACACCACACTAAGAAAGAAGCATCATTTGAAGTTATGTAACTTGTTTTATATAGCGCTCTGGGATGCAACCCCCCTGAAGGGCGTCATATAAATTCAAGTTGTTGTTGTTTTGCAGGCGTTACAAAGAATATATACCAGTTAACAGACAGGAGAATGTGGGCCAAAGACAGATGGTGGTGAATGGTGAAAACAGCAGTGTGTATTTCAACAGCCTGAAGGCTGTACTTTTCACTGCAAGCAATGAGAAAAGCCCCCTGTTGAAGAATGCACCTGGAATCAATTAATGGGAGCTCCTTATTGAAGAAGAGCCCTGGTTGAGCAGTATTTAACTGCTCGTCTCAGAACCAGTGTTGCTTAAGCAAATCTCGATTATCGAAACGCCCACTTGCATTGCTTTGACTCCTCTCTGTGAACAAATGGATTACAACTTGAAACATTTGTTCCCCCTCCTTTCCCTGAAGATAAAAGCGAAACTGTACTATGAAAAATCTTTATTGTATATGATGAAACAAACACTTGTTGATGTAACTCTATGCTATAGTGAAAATTATTCAACATATTTCTGATTTAACTCTTTCCATTCTGCTACAAAATGTAATTTCTCTTCACCCTGCAAAGTACAGTAATGGTAAGGTGGCAGTGTATTGTCTAGTTTATTTGCAGTTGTTCAAATCCTGCTGCTGAGGTTACTCTGCTGCTTGTTTTCTAAGTCCATCACTATAAAGGGATGTTTGGAGAAATGCATTTGCTAATGAGGGCTTCATACTAATTTAAATAGAGGAATGGCAGACAAACTAACATTACTTTTTCAGGATGTTATTCGAATGCTTTGGATGCAGACTATGCCAAATGCACAAATAATAATGCTCACAATAAATTTTAATCCATACCTATGTTTTGTCTTTTGTTTGGGTTGCTTTCCATCCTCTATATAATAACACTATCAAAATTTCCTTCCTGTTACATCAGTTCCATCACATCAGAAAACTGAAAACAATACATCAGTTGTCTTGCTATCTAAGGTTGCTTAGATTTGGTTATGTCCAAATTTGGCTGGACAAGTACTCATCTAAAGAATAAAAATTAGATTAAGAGTAATGGTCTAGGATTATAGGAGGAAGGCCATTTGGCTCCTTGAACTTAATAATAATAATCCTTGCATTTGATAAAGCGTTTTTCACGTCTTCTAGACGTCCCAAAGAGCTTCACAGAATATACTGTAGAGTGAATTGACTGTATATTTGTGGACGAACTTTTGCTGCTGCTTCTCCAATGAAGTTATATATTCTAAGGCCAATTCCTTGGTCTTTCCCTGTAGCCTTTTGGATTGTTCCTCTTCAAAATTGTTTGAGTCAGTTGGGTCTCTGACAAATGCAGCAAACCATCACCATGCTTAATAGTGTTTTGATGAGAAATTCCCATTGTATAAGCGGAATATATATGTGGAATTCTCAGTGCCAACATGGGGCTTGAACCCACAACCTTCTGGCTCAGAGCCAAGAGTGCTGCCAACTGAGCCAGGCTGAACCATGGGGTAGTTAAGAACGAAGAGGCATGTCACATATTTCACAAATATCTGGCTTATCTTTTATCGAGTGGCTAGAGGCCCCTTCCTTGATTATTAGAAATTTCTGCTGTACTCAGCTTTGCTCCCTGCAAACTTCTGGATTCCTGGAGAGGATTCCACATCCCGACATTCTCTGTGTGAAAACGTTCCTCCTAATCTCTGTTCTGGACCCCCCCCCCGCCTCCAGTTACGATTTTAATATCATGCTCTCCAACACGAGACCCCCCGACCACTGAAAATAATCTTTCCCTCATCACCCGCGTTTGTGGAGTCGTGTAGCTCAGTGGTTAGAGCACTCGTTTTGCAAGCGAGAGACCTGAGTTCAATTCCAGGCAGAGGGCGAAACCTTGGGCAAGTTTCCTTACTCCACACAGAGCCTAATAATAATCCCTCCAAAAAACAAAACAATAATAAATTGGTCATTTTCAATCTACGACTGTTTGTGGGACATTGCTGTGCGCAATTGGCTGCCGCGTTCGCCCACAAATATACAGTCAATTCACTTTACAGTGTGTTCTGTGAAGCGCTTTGGGACGTCCTCCCGGCGTGAAAAGAGCTATATCAAATGCAAGGATTATTATTATTATTATTATTAGAGCACTCGCCTCGCAAGTGAGAGACCCGGGTTCGATTCCTGTCGGGGTGAAATGTTGGTCAGGTTTCCTTACTCCGCGCGACTCTGTTTACCTCACACAGTGGGGGAGGAACCCGGTTATCAGTCAATTGCCAAATCCCTTTCCGGGGGTCATAACCCTTTTTTAAAAAAAATGTCGTCACTCAATCCACCACTGTTTGTGGGTCACTGCTGTGTGTGAGCGCCACTCACTGTCTGTGGGGTTTCGCCCACAACACACACAGTCAATTGCCTTCGCAGTGTGTTCTGTGGAGGGGGAGAGGCGAGAGATTACCATCTAAACCTCCACCGTGTCTCCCCCTCTCTGAGCCGCACACAGACAGTGGGCACTGTGCCCAACCCCAGTGTGCGGCCCAGTGTGTGCGGGGGCGGGGCGGGAGGGCGGGGCGGGGCTGTGCTGGTGTCCGGGGCGGGGCGGGGCTGTGCGGGCCGGGCCGGGCCGGGCCGGGGGTGAGGGCTGTGCTGGTGTCCGGGGCGGGGCTGTGCGGGCCGGGCCGGGCCGGGGGGTGAGGGGAGGCCGGGGATGGCGGCCTGGCTGAGGACACTGGCGGCGGCGCTGGTTACGAACACTCGCTGTGGGGGGCGGGGGCTCCGCGCTCACCCCCGAGAGCCACCGACTCGGGGCTGCACCAACTGCCGGGGCCCGAGCCCCGGCCCCGGGCCCCAGCCCCGCCCGGGGAGCAGCCCGAGCCCCGGCCCCGGGCCCCAGCCCCGCCCGGGGAGCAGCCCGACCCAGGCCACAGGTGAGGCCCACTGCAGCCCGTGTGTGTGAGGGGGTTGGGCCGGGGTTGGGGGTGGGCCGGGGGTTGGGGGTTTGGGGGGGGCGGTTGTTGGGGTGGGGTTGGGGTGGTCCGGGGGTTGGGGGGTGGGCCGGGGTTGGGTCCGGGGGGTTGGGGAGGGTGGGGTCCGGGGGTTGGGGAGGGTGGGGTCCGGGGGGGGCGGGGTTTGGGGAGGGTGGCGTCCGGGGGGTTGGGGTTGGGGAGGGTGGGGTCCGGGGGGTTGGGGAGGGTGGGGTCCGGGGGGGGGGGGGGGGGCGGGGGTTGGGGAGGGTGGGGTCCGGGGGGTTGGGGAGGGTGGGGTCCGGGGGGGGGGGGGGGGGGGGGGGGGGGGGGGGGGGCGGGGGGGGTGGGGTCCGGGGGGGGGGGGTTGGGGAGGGTGGGTCCGGGGGGGGGGGGGGTTGGGGAGGGTGGGGTCCGGGGGTGGGAGGTTGGGGGGGTGGGTCCGGGGGGTTGGGGAGGGTGGGGTTGGGAGGTTGGGGAGGGTGGGGTCCGGGGGGGGGGGTTGGGGGGGGGGTTGGGGGGTGGGGGGGGTGCGGGGGGTTGGGGAGGGTGGGGTCCGGGGGGGGGGGGGGGTTGGGGAGGGTGGGGTCCGGGGGGGGGGCGGGGGTTGGGGAGGGTGGGGTCGGGGGTTGGGGGGGGGGGGGGGGTGGGGAGGGGGGGGGGGGTGGGGAGGGTGGGGTCCGGGGGGGGGGGTTGGGGAGGGGGGGGTGGGGGGGGGGGGGGGGGGGTCCGGGGGGGTTGGGGAGGGTGGGGTCCGGGGGGGGGGGGGGGTGGTGGAGGGTGGGGTCCGGGGGGGGGCGGGGGTTGGCCTGACATATGGAAACCCGTCTCTATCAGAAGATCCAAACCAAACTGAGAATTCCATCATCCCAACTACACATGGACATTCCCTGCCTCCTCCATGTCCGTCTTGAGATCAGAACCAAACACCTTCCTCTTCAACCGTGGCTCGGGTCAGCTCTCTCCGTGGCTCGGGTCAGCTCTCTCCGTGGCTCGGGTCAGCTCCGCTCTCTCTCTCTCTCTCTCTCTCTCCGTGGCTCGGGTCAGCTCCGCTCTCTCTCTCTCTCTCTCTCTCCGTGGCTCGGGTCAGCTCTCTCTCTCTCTCTCTCTCCGTGGCTCGGGTCAGCTCTCTCTCTCTCTCTCCGTGGCTCGGGTCAGCTCCGCTCTCTCTCTCTCTCTCTCTCCGTGGCTTGGGTCAGCTCCGCTCTCTCTCTCTCTCTCTCCGTGGCTCGGGTCAGCTCCGCTCTCTCTCTCTCTCTCTCCGTGGCTCGGGTCAGCTCCGCTCTCTCTCTCTCTCTCTCCGTGGCTCGGGTCAGCTCCGCTCTCTCTCTCTCTGTGTATTGGTGTCTGGCACAGCCACTGTTGTGCTCTGGGTCGCTGCCCCTCGCTGTATAAATGAACATTGTTGTTGTTCAGGTTAGTCAGGATAGTTCTGAGCATTTGATCAATAACAACAACAATTTACATTTGTTTAGAGCCTTTCATGTCAGGAGGATGTCCCAAGGCGCTGGACAGTCAGGGATCTGCACTGAGCTGGTGGCTGGGATCAGGAAGGATGAAGGGCGGGGAGGGTAGGAGGGTGAAGACACGGTCGAAGAAGAAGGTCTGAGATAAGTTTTAAAGGAGGCAAGAGGAGGGATTGCGGGATGGAGTTCCAGAGGGTGGGGGCAGAAGATCTGCCCACCAATGGTGGGGCGAACGAGGCAGGATACGCGAAGCAGACTGGAGCCCGCTGAGCAGAGGGCGCGGACATGTTGGTAGTGGGTTAGGAGTTCACAGAAGTAGGGGGGAGCAAGGCCGTGGAGGGCTTTGAAGGTGAGGACCAGGATCTTGAACTGTATCCTCTGTGCAATGGGAAGCCAGTGGAGTGGGGCGAGGATGGGGGTGATAGGGTCACGGAGCCTGGTGCGGGAGAGGACATGGGCTGCAGACTTCTGGATGATCTGCAGCCTATGGAGGGAGGAGCTGGAGAGGCCGACAAGCGGGGAGTTTGCGTAGTTGAGTCTGGATGTGATGAATGCGTGGATGAGTGTTGAGCCGAGCAATGTTATAGAGGTGGGGAAAGGTGGAGCGGGTCATGGTATGGATGTGGGGACAGTTGAGGGTCGAAAAGGATGCCGAGGTTCCATGTTGGCTCCATGAGGTGTAGAGAGCATCCATGAAATGTGATGCTGTCAGCGCCTGAGGCTTGTTGACATTCAACTGGAAGTTAGCTTTCGTCCAGGACTTGATGTCCGACAGGCAGTCTGTGAGGACAGCAGTGGAGTTGAGGGTGGAGGTAGAGGGATAGAGTTGAGTGTCATTCGCATACATGTGGAAGTTGACCCCATGTCTATGGATGATGTCACCAAGAGGGACACCGCCCTTGATGGGGTTGGAGGAGAAACCGTTAGTGGAGACAGTGTGAATTTTGAAAAATACTTGGAATTCAGTCTTAATTTGAAAACTGTTTTTTCTGCAATTCTTTAAACCTAATCAAGGCTTAATTTGAAAAATGTTCCACAATTCTGCACAATCTTAAATTTGGAGCAAATGGCCTTACAGGTTTGAACTTGGTGGAGAAGTAAAGGATTAAACACTTTCACTTTTGCTTTTAAATAGGTTCCATTTACAAGTCAGTGTTCACCATTGATTATTTGGTGGCTTTGCTGCGGCAGGAGAATGCGAAGGATATATGTGTTATTAAAGTGCCGGAAGAAATAAAGTACACAGATTATTTTATCATCGTGAGTGGAACTTCTGCAAGGCATTTGCATGCCATGGCCCATTACGCCCTTAAAGTGGTAAGTCGATCTTGGGAAATGTTGTCACTGAATGAGTTATATTTGTTTCGGTTAATCACAGTGCCTGTAAACTATGTGAATGAGACTTGCCAAGTCTTTGAACATGACTCAGTAGTGATCTGAATCTGTGCATGAAAATAGCAATAATAAACATTTTTTTAAAAAACGTGAAAGCCACTTTCTGAATACTCACATTCTTAGGAGGTCACCAGCTGTGAAATTATAGAAACTCTACCTGATAGTGAAATTAACCTTGTTTCTACTCTCAATGTTTTAGTTCATTTGATGGCGATAATAATAATAATAAATCCAATAAGTAATTGATGTAAGAACAGAATTACTGGAAATTTGCAGCAGGTCGATCACCTGAAACACCACATATATTTTGACTAAACTGATTATTCTGCAGAGTAGATATTATTTAAAGCACCTGGTCTGCTGAATGGTCACGGACATCCTATAGCTCAGTGGTTAGAGTAACAAGAGACCTGGGTTCGATTTCTGGCAGAGCAAAACTTTGGGCAAGTTTCCTTACTCCACACGCCTGTTTACCTAGAGGTAAGTAGGAACCCGGTTGTTAGTTGATTGGCGGATCCCTTTTCCTTCAAATTGTTTTTAAAATAATAATAAATTGGTCACTCAGCCCACGACTGTTTGTGGCACGCTGCTGTGCGCAATTGGCTGTCGCATTTCGCCCACAACATATACAGTCAATTCACTTTATGGTATATTCTGTGAAGCGTTTTAAGACGTTTTGAAGATGTAATAAGGCGCTATATCAAATGCAAGGATTATTATTATTATATGTTGTGTTTCAAACGCTGTTCTTTATAGTAAGTCACTGCAGGAAGTAGGTTGGCTAAGTAAATTGTACACAAGTATTGTAAGATTGGATTCAATTTCTCAATAAAATGCTTTGGTACAACCAAAATAATTTTGTTATTCATCAGTATAAACAGTTAAAGACAGAGCAGCTTCCTCAAGTCAACATGGAAGGAAAAGATACTGAAGACTGGAAATGTATAGATTTTGGTAAGTATCAAATATCTAGTGAACTGTACGATAACAAACTTTAATAAGACAACATAGTTATTGGGCACGAAATGCATCAATGCCAATAATATATGGCGTTTCAGATCATAAAGCTGGCCTAGCAAAGATGCCCTTTAATAAATGTTAGGTCCGGGAGTGTAGAAGTCTTAAGCAAGAGTGTTTGAAACACATTGTGAAGTACCTCTCTCACATTCTAGATCCTGAAGAGGGGCGTGGGGAAACAAGTGCTGAGCCAAGTAACCGGGGGTGGAGGTGTGGAGAAGGAACAGCCATAAAAATGTTCCTGCTTGCTAAAGCTCACCCCTGTATAAATCAAGTTCTCACTTCAGATGTTTGTGCAAATTGGCTGCCACATTCACCTACAAACAGTCAGAACACTTTACAGTAAATCTTGTGAAGTGCTTTGGGTGGGACCTTTTAATGACATGATAAAGTGCTATATCAAATATAAGGATTATTATTACTGTAATTATGAGTGGGAATCACTGGGCAATTAGGCAAGTTTCCTTACTGCGTATGTCTCTGTTTACCTAACAGTAAGTAGGAACCCGGTTGTTAAATCGTTGGCAGATCTCTTTCCCGGGTAATAATCTGTCAAAAAATGTTTTAGATCACTCAATCCATGACTGTTTGTGGGACATTGGTATGGCAATTGGCTGCTGCATCAATTGGTGCATTGCTTTCCAGGGCTAATAATCCCATCAAAAATAATAATGATAATTTGGTCACTCAATCTCTGACTGTTTGTGGGACAAACAGTGGGACGTTGCTGTGCGCAATTGGCTGCTGCTTTTTGTCCACAATCCACTTTACAGTATATTTTGTGAAGTGCTTGAGACGTCTCAGTGGTGTGATAAGGCACTATTTCAAATGCAAGGATTATTTTTATTATAAATCATATAGTTAGAGCACTCACTCGCAAGCAAGAGGACCCAGTTTCGATTCCCAGGCGGGGCGAAACCTTAGGCAAGTTTCGACATGCCTCTATTTACCTATTTACCAGAGTCCTGTAGCTCAGTGGTTAGAGCACTCGCCTTGCAAGCGAGACACCTGGATTCAATTCCAGGCAGAGGGCGAAACCTTGGGCTTCCTTACTCCACACGCCTAATAATAATCCCTCCAAAAAACAAAACAGTGATAAAAATTGGTCATTTTCAATCCACGACTGTTTGTTGTACACTGCTGTGCACTGCTGGCTGCCGCGTTTCACCCAAAATATACAGTCAATTCACTTTACAGTATATTCTGTGAAGCGCTTTGAGACGTCTAGAAGATGTGAAAAGTGCTATATCAAATGCAAGGATTATTATTAGCAGTAGTGGTAAGTAGAAACCCGATTGTTTGTCGATTGGCAGATCGCTTTCCGGGGGTAATAATCCCTCAATGGCTACCAATGTTCCACACTCAATCCACGACTGTTTGTGGAACACTGCTTTGGCAATTGGCTGCTGCTGCGTTTTGCACACAAAATACACAGCAAATTCACTTTACAATATATTCCGTGAAGTGTTTTGAAACATCCCAATGACGTGATAAGGTGCTACATCAAATGATAAAGTCATTTCCCATGTGGTTGGTATAGCCTTTTAAACAAAGGAACAAGGAACTGCCACATTATAGAGGAGTTCTTCAGAACTATTATTTGTACGCTGAGAAAGCTCTCTGTAGTGTGGCTGGATGTAGAAACAAATTGCACCACCAGATGGCAACACGGCAGTGTTGCTCACTTTCTTTAGTTCAGTGTGGACCAAAAGGCGGCCCGTGGCCCACAACCAGTGAAGACATAAACTTGGGATATAATTCATTTGAAAAACTACTTCCTAGTAGCTCCAGCTGGTACGCATTCAAGTGGACTTGTTTGAATGCTGGCCTTGACTGATTGGGATATGGTATGGTACTGAGTGAACTGCAGCTGTTTGCTAGGGGGTGTGATGGGGAGGGGGCAAGGTAAGAATTGTTGAACATGTCAGAAACGTTGCATAGGCTGAAATGACACTGAGAGTGTGGTTCATTGGTAGCCATGGTAGGAAGGAGACAAACTCCAAGGGAGTCTCTCGGCTGATTTCAATGCGGGACTATACTTTATTGCTTAACTCTGAGAATGGAGAACTAGCAGAACTCCAGCAAAAGTCCTTCAATTTGGATATGGAGTGAGACGGATCTTGAGTTAACAAGTTCCAGATTTCTTTGCCTTTAGCAAAGTCACTGTGCATGTGGCTACAGGAACATTGATGCTTTCCCTGTAACTATTTGAAAAACCTGCCAGCACTCTGTGTGGTTTCACACATTTTGGTTTGGTCAGCCGGGAGTCTGACATATGTGAAACCCATCGCCATGCTTCAAGAGTATCCAAACTAGACAGAGTATCATGCATCCCACCTACACATGGAATGTGCGCTCTCTCTCTCTCTGGAGGGACACACCCTGCTTTTCTAATTCCAGAATGTATTAGGCAAGAGCCAAGGCTTGGGGACCCCAGAATATGCATTGGAGAACTGCAGAAGTCTAGCCAGCTAAAACTGCATAGGCTTTCCCACAACTTGTCCAGCTATGACCATCCCACCTGTTAGGGCTTTGGTTTGCACAACAACTAGAGCTGAATGGGAAGAATCCCTGCCCCCAATCACTGGTCTGCCACTCATCCTAACAATATCAATACTGTACCATGCTTTGCTGCTTAACTCAGGTTTCAATGTGTTCAATAATTCTTAGAGCACTGAACAGTTTTGAGTATGACTTCAGCAGGGCCCTGGCTCAGAGGATTGACTTGGTTCTGATATTCCATTACCATTAATCAAGCGTTAGTAAGTGTTTAAGTAATACAATGTCATGTTTTCTATGTGCTTTTTTGAAAGGTAATATTGTGATACATTTCATGTTGCCTGAAACCCGGGAAGTCTATGAACTGGAGAAACTCTGGACTTTGCGTTCACATGATGATCAGTTGGCGAAGATACCCCAAGAAATGTTTCCGTCTGATTTTATATACGAACCAACAGATGTGGGCCAAAAGGAACAATCGCTTCCCAGGGCAGTTTTGGGAGAATCCACACGTGAAGCTGACAGCAACAGCAGGACCTTGTTTTGAAAATAAAATTGCTCGACAAAGCCAACAGCTTGACTCGTTTGGTTTTGCTCAAGGTGTTTGATTTTATAATCGGACAAAGAAATGAACGACAGTGCTTGTGAGACTCTTGATTGGGGAGATGACTCTGCCACTGAATGTTTTGATCTAAAATGTGCAAAATGTTGAAATAAATACACCAAACTGTCAAAAAGAAAAACTATTCTGAACCACATATTAAAACACAAACTACTTTGGAAGGAAATGTGTTAAGTGTTTAAGCATCAGAGTCTAGTAGATAGTGTATAAAGGGTGGATTATTTACCTTTTCACTAAGCTCCCAGAGGGGAGTTTATACATCTAGGCTTGTCTTACCCTCCAATAAGTTCTTGAATACTCATTGAGTTTATGCTGATGATGAATGATGCACCATTAACCACTACCAACTCAGGCTGGACTCCCACCCCATTGTACTAGGAATTGCATTTCCTACATGATTCATTAAATTTGGTTGAGTGACAACTGATAATTAAAAGGCCTTTTGTAGCAAAAGGTCACTGAAATTTACATCCCAAATCTATTTAAACTCTTATTCCAGAAGTGAAAAGGGCAATTCTAATCCTTCATAACACCTCTTATGACTATGAAATAGAATCTATTGAACAAACAGTGCTGGTTTTAAAAATCAATCCAGACTGCATAAACTTAATCTTAAATCGAGTAAGATCTCAAGAGACTGAAGTTCATCTGTAACTGAACCCAAAATGCTCCCATTTACTTATGCACATCAGCTAGTTTTTTTTTACATTTTCTTAAAGATATCCATTCCAAGCTGTTTTTAAAGCAAATTCCTTTTAGAAGCTGGAAAACTCAGAGGAGTGACATTGCTTTAATTCTATCCAATCATGCGAGGTGGGTCAAAGGTCCTCAAGGTAAGATGGATAACAGCCTGTAAATGATCGCAGCTGGTGGGGGAAAGGAAGAAATAAACTTAAAAGTCTTATAGGATGAGTAGGAGACCACAAATTAGATCTTATCTATTCAAAATAATAAATTGCAGGGTCTAATATATTGGATACTTGTCATTGGAGTTTTAGTTTCTTAATTGTTTTCCTTAATAAAGAACTGGATTTGTGCAAATGCAAGTTTCCTTTTGTAAGATGCTCACCACAGGAATGCTACTCAGATACAATCTACCTACAGAGTGGAATGACAGGAATTCTTCATAAGGAATTCCATTCAGAAATACTAAAAATTAGATCCCAACTGTCAAATATTGTAACTCCATCTTTCTCCTATTATGAAATGAATGATGTGTGTTATACAAGCAATTTATGTACAAATTAGATGTTGTAATGCCCTGTGCAACAAACATTTGTTGGGTCTATGTGGTACATTCCACTAGAACACTTCAAAGACACCAATCATAAACAAATCATATAGGAGCTAAATTCTTTATTTCATACAGAGGCATTTGACAAGTGGGGCTGCATTGGGGGCACAGTATTCAGATGAAAGAAAAAGTGAGCCATGTAATGTTTGCTGGTATCACACTTCCATTTACAGTACTACCTTCAACTAATGCCAGTTATTCCAAATACACCAGTCTCATTTGAAAAAATGAAAAATTAAAACAGGTTCTATCCTAGCAACAATCTCTATACAGTCCAGAAATTTAAATGATACAACAGCAGATATGCCAATGCAAATGCAGCATTATATGGTGAAATCAAAATCCATGGTAAATCAATTCCTTATCAAAGGTTACTTGCAATAAAGAAAATACAAGTGGGCTTATGACTTTCCAGCCTCACATCAACTCTTTTAAGCTATTATTAAATGACCTTCTGTAGTTCAGTAATTTTATCAATGTAAAAACAATTTCTAAGACTACATGGAAAAGTCACTGCCAAAAAAAATGAGAATTAATTTTGCTAAAGCTACAACATAAGCTTTTGAGAATTTTTAATTAGTAATGAATAATATGCAGGCAAAAAATACTTCAGACCATTTTTAAATTGTCCAAATCTGTACAAAAATGATCTTTGGGAAAATTAACCTATCCTATGCAGAAATGCCTCTAATTCAAATGTATCTAAGAGGTAGATCAAAAAATTGATGAAGTAAATGGTTATGCCAAGTTGTGCCCCTCCAATTCAGTGCAGCATGATGATTCTGATCATCTCATGCACAAAAAAATAAAAACAAATCACAAAGGTTCAGAGGTAATAGTATGGTTCTGCTCAGACCACATACAGCAGTGTTTATGCACCAAATATGCACTGCCTTAGTTTAAGCACTGAGGTAGATGGAATTTGGGTTCACTGAAGAAATTGATCGGAGCATTTCAACTTTACCACATATTATTTTAGCTTATTCTATCATTCTGTTAGACTACATTCTGGGAGGGGGGGAGAGAGGGAGAAGGAGGAGATATTGGCTGTCAATTTGGCCTTTTGGCATTGAAATGTATTGCTATACTGGTGTAGAATGTGCATAAAGCCTGCTGCATTCTGGTTAAGCCGAGAGAAGGAGCAGAGAAATGGAGCTTGCAGCCCCCTCAGTGGCTTAGCGTGGCCCACTATAGCAGCTGCATATGTAAACTCTTATTTAGTTTCAATAACTTTAGTGTGATCAAACAGTGTTTGACCGTTTTTCTGCCCATGGTGACTGAAATGGGTGGTTCAGTAAGTTCAACCCAGAGTGTGCTCCGGCAAAGTGTGCCAGAGTATTCTCTAATGGATTAAATCGCTCTACCAATAACTGAAGATGAAGCTTGCTCTTTGAACAAAATGGCCAAGTCCAAATGGACTGCGTCATTATGTATCAAGAGGCTGTGATGGCCAAAGGCACCAAGGGTCCATGCATTAAAAAATTACTCAGTAACACTAAAAGCCAATCCAGTTTGCAGCCACTTTTTTTTTCAACCCAAGCCTCTTGCCATCACTTCCTTGTTTTGTTCCCAAAAAGTACCATCAATCAAAAATAGGAATTAAACACTTTCATCCCATCTTAAAAAAAGAAAAAAAATGGCATTGCTGCTATCAGTATATGTTGGCATCATTCGGCGTCTTTCAAACATTCACAGAATTTTGATCAAAAGATGGTGTTGTGAACCTCAGGAAATCTGAGGCGATTCTGATTATCGAGTACTCCCATCAGCCAGCAGCTAGAAGCAAGACATCTACATCTGTATTTTTCTCTGTAGTGCTCCTGGCTTGTAGCTGATCAAATTTTACTTTTTTTATTAAAAAAATAAAATGCTCAAGACTATTACTTTTATAAAGTATACAAAATAAGCAAAAAAAAGGAACAATTGAGGTACTAAATGCCTGAGGTAGTTTAGTAAAATGCATAATAATCAATTCATGCCCTGGCCAACACCATTCAACACTTCCCTTAGGTTCTCACGGCAGTGTTTCAGTAATCTTTGTAAAATAACCAAATTTAAAAAGCCATTTTTTGTGGTGGGACAGATGCCTACAAACTAGCCACCCCCTTACCCCCTCCCCCAAAAAACCTCAAGATTTTATAATGACTGGAACTATAAGAGCAATGCCTTTTTGTAACCAGTGAAATCAGAAGAGAAAGCTTCATTAAACCCAACAGATCTAAGAGCTTTGGGAAAGCTAACAAGGCAGTTTAAAGTTTTGAAATTAGAACAAAAGAAGGGAAGTGAAAGGGTCTTATTTAAAGCTGGGTTTCACAAGGTTTCTTTTTTGAGCGCCTAAAGGACACATTCTCACAGAGACAGAGTTCAATTGTTGCCTGGTCCTCGACAAAGATGACTGGGGAAGGTGGAACATATGCTTCTTTATCAGTGATGGGTTTAAATCCTCATCTACGACTACACAGTCCATCTCTCTCTTTGGTCTGGCATCTGTCTCGGTGGTTGGTTTGAAATCCTGAACCTTTTTATTTTCTTCGGGACTGGGGTTGTCCACTCTGCGCCGTCTTCTGTTGCTGCTGTCTTTTTACCTGGGCCAAAATTTCTTGAATTTTTCGTTGAGCAAGCTATTTGTAAAAGGGATGAAAAAATTAGTCATCAGTTACTCAGTTAACATTAAATCCTCCTTCACTGGATACAAAACAAGGAAATTTAAGGAAATATAACATTTTATCTTCTAACTACAGCAGTAATTCAGCCTGGCTCAGTTGGTCTCTCTCTCGCCTCAGAATAAATTTAAAAAATCGTTCCATTTGATTTAGCGCTTTTCAGGTCTTCTAGATGTCTTAAAGCGCTTCACAAAATATACTGTAAAGTGAATTGACTGTATATTTGTGGGTGAAACGCGGCAGCCAATTGGCACAGCAGTGTCCCACAACAGCGTGGATTGAAAGTACCAATTTATTATTGGCTTTTCTTTTCTTGAGAGATTTGCCCAAGGCTTTGCACTGCCGGGAAAAGAATCCAGGTCTCTCGCTTGCAAGGCGAGTGCCCTAACCACTGAGCTACAGGATTCCACAATCCGACTCTACAGGAATCAAAAGATTATGGGTTCAAGTCCCAGTGTTACTTTTTGAGCTCACTTAGTGTAGGCTGGTATTCCAGGACAGTACTGGGAAAGCACAACATTGTTGGAGATGAGACGTTAAACTACCTATTCAAGTGAACGTAAAAGATCCCGTGGTACTAATCAAAAAGACAAGGGACTTCTTCTCAGTGCCCTGACCAACAATTCCTCAAAATGAAATTGATCAATGGCCGTTTGTGGGACTTTGGGCACAAATTAGCTTTGGCGTTCGCCTACAAAATACACTACATTCTACAGTAAATCATGTGAGGATCTTTAAGACACCCTCTCGATGTGAAAGGCTTGTATCAAATGCAATGAAATATTATTCTTGCATTACATCTTTGTCTTTACATTTGTATGGCGTTTTTCTATTTCGAGTTGGATGTTATTTTGCACAATTTGTGGTTGCAATTATTGTTTCAATCAGCAGTAGCAAGAGTTGGAATTGTTGAGGGTAGAAATTATTCTGGATTACTAGATTCTGATTCTTAAATACAATGGAAGACTGCCTCAGCAAGGAGGACCTCAAAGACTAAACTGCTATGTAAGTCACAAAGGCTGCTGTTGCACCTGCCTTTCATTTTCAGACAGATATTATAAATGATTCAGAACCCAGCAACAGCCTATTACAATTTGACCAGTTTCTCACTTGGTATAAACAGAAAATGATATCCCTGCTCAAAAGATGACGTGTTTTAATTATCTCCAAGTCCCAAGTGATTTTGTACTGGTGTGTAAAAGGAAATCTCTTACCTGACTTGCAAAGAAGTGACCGGTTATTTTGACAATAACCTGATCATTTTCATCTGGAATCTGATCACGAGGAACTACCACTTCTGCACTTGTGAGGTTCTGTAGCTCATTTACCTGAAACATTTTAGGTTAGGATTCATGAGCTGAAAGCTAGAACAGTCAAGAGCCAAGTACCTCAGCCTATTTGGGTTTGACTGACAACTTACTGACATGCATCTCAGAAACTGACAACTATTTTATATATATTTTATTTTACATTATCTTCCATCCTCCCCCATTGATCCAAAAAAAAGCCCAAATTCAATAAGCATATAGAACACCAGATAATTGATAGAGGAAAGCACAGCAGAGATTTAGATTAAAGCAATGAAATATTTTGGAAACAATGCTCACCGTTTTGCCCCCTTTCCCAATAACCCGGCCAGCTGCATGGGATGGTACTTTGATATGGGTCTCCAGTTTCACTTCTTCTTTGGGTCCAAAGAAATTCTCCTCTTTCAGTTTGCCATAGATTCGACCTTGAGCCTGAAGAAACAAAATTTTCCAGCTACATCTGCTTCTCAAAGTAATGACTTGGTGCCCATGCAGAATCAACAGTATTTCTCAGGCTGTTGAGATTTCCAAGCTACCTGTAACACAACCTTAATGTACAATTTGCAATTCAAATTGCTGTAACAATGCTGTCCAATAATAAACACGCTTTATTGTAGCGCAAATTTGCCTATACCTTTGTACTCCTGTGGACCCCCACATGTAGAACTGGCTGGCTTGCTTCTTGTGTCAGCTGGCTTTCTGCCCTAAAATGGCCAACGTCTGGGTTAATAGGTGCAGAAAGTGAATTTGGAAGGAATCTAGTATATCCTCCATCCTCGCCAGGCTCTATTGGTCTCCCATCACCACAGCAGATCGAGTTCAAGTTCCTCATCCTATCTTTTAAATCCCTTCATGGGCTTGCCCCACCCTAGCTCTGTGACCAGCTGACTCCACACCAGCCCACTCAGTGGGATTGCTTGGTTGATCCCGTCACACCTGCCCAACCATCAGTATCTGGTTTTCAGCATATCTGCCCCACTCTCTGGGCCTCCATCCCCAAGACCCTTCGGCTTGCCCCTTCCTCGCTTCTTTCAAGGTCCATCTCAAGACCTTCCTCTTAGTCTGCGCTTTTGGCCATCTTTCCCTTCCCCCCCAGCCCTCCTCCAACCCCAGCTTGTGTGAATATCCAAGACTGTCCAGCACCATATCATATAAATTCTGACAATTTACCTTAAACTGAGCTTCAGGTGGTCCTGTGATGATCACCATACGCTGTTTTGTATCTGGACTTTCAGCAGGAGCAATCTTCAACAGAATACATTGTATAAATATAAACATAGAATACATCCAACAAATATAGATACATCTTTAGAACTTAAGTTATGATGTAAAATCCAGAGTATATATTGATTTACATATGTATAATATATATATTTGGCTCTGTTTCCTTATTTACAATACTCTTAAGAGATTCTCATGTCCACTAGCCAAAAAGACCAACACAAACTCTTGTGCAACCTCCGAATATGTCTACAGAGGGCGCGTTCTTCAGCTGAAAGCTACTGTGGGAGGGAGGCTTGATTGATCGAATAGTCCAACAATACATTCAGAGGATCACAAGTATGAATAGCAACCTCAATTAGGATTAAAATACCAATTGCAATATTCCACCAATTCTCAAACTGGCTACTAGTTTAGTGTGAGCTAGCACAGCATTCCTTTTCATTGTAGATAGGAGGGAAAATGGCAATGCTCCCAAAACATATAAAAAGCTTTGTGACATTAGCACATATTGTGGAATTCAGGCTTAAACAAAAGTATGATGGCCATAAAAGGAGTAAGAATGGCTACACCTTCGTTGCAATCATGAAATGAACCAGTTTATATTCTAGAAACCATTTATTCTCTTAGATTCCTTTTCCCAACTAAAGATATCAAATAATATATAGGCCATGGAATTCAAAAATTTCATATTTAGCTGAGCTAACACTTTGTTCCATTTCTTTTCATACACAGGATCCCAGTGGCACATAGCTGTCCATCATACTATCATACTCGATCTAGATCTACACGTAGGACAAATGCTCAAGAATGGGTCAAATTAACATCAAAATTCACTTAACCTTCAGAAAGCCACTAACTACTTTCTAGTTGTACAAACAATAAGGGACACAATCAAAGCTCAAATTCAGGATTAGCTTGCATTTTTTTCAGCTGTGAAGCTATTATATATAGGTCAAGCAATACTTTGGCTCAGTCAGCAGCCTTTTGATCAAACATTTATGGGGTTGAGTCCTATACTTGAGATACTGAATGGCTGTTGCATTGTTGGAAGTATTCTTTAGATGACAAGTTCAATTAAAGGTCCAGTCTGCCTGTTCTAGTGCCTCAGGTGAATATTGAAGATTTAATGTCACGATTTCAAAGAGAAGTGATCCTCCGCCTCCCACCAATGTTCCTGCCTCACCACAAATTCACCATTCCCCAAAAAAGTCATTTATCTCAATGCTGATGCAGATTGGCTGTGTTGTTAGTAGCTTTAAGTGACTATACTTCAAACAATGTACGAAGTGTGTGAAGAGGTGCAAACACGATAAAGCAAAATGTCACCATCATTAAACTAGCAAGAAACATTGTTTGATCAAGTTAATTACTGAGCAAAAAAAGCTGACTCATTCTGAATGAAGTTTCTGAAAATTTTTGCAACAGATTTGAATTTGTCTCTACAATAAGCTGGCAAACACAGTAGACTGTCTTGCACAGTGTATTAGGGGCAATTTTACAAGAACCTAATATTTACAGTCAGAACTTAAAAATATGAAAAGACTGAGAAGTCTAGAACAAATAAAACCTTTGGGCTAATCCTGTGATCTAGTGGGTAAAGGCACCACCCATCACAAATAGAAAGTTACAGCTTCAAATTTTGTCCTGTGCTGAATTAGCTGGTGTATTATGATGGGCCAAGGATCCCACATTGCCTTCAGGGAAATGTGGATGTTGGATCAGAACTGTTTCTCAAGTTTGTCTCTCCAAGAATGGGAACATTCACTATCTGGACTCGCATATGACAACTTACCAATTTGGCCAAGGCACCAGAGGGCAGCACAACCCCAGCAACAGTTAATTAAAATGCATTAAATTCATAATGCATTTGGTGAAATCATAAAACACTTAAGAGGCTGCAAAATGGTTTAGAAATTGGTTAAAAGCAACTCCATAAAATCAGTTTACATATCAAATTAAGTATTGAACTGGTGAAAACATTCTGTAATTATTTCCAACAACAGTCACTGGTATCACTTGGCAGTCATAGATTTTATGTCTCAATTTTCACCATGATTTGTTGCAGCGCATAAATTCTTTGTCAAGTATAAAATGCTAAGAGTTACCTTAATGGAAGCTCCTGCGAAGCGAGAGAGTTGTTTGATGTGTTGTCCCTGTTTGCCAATAATTGCACCCACAGCCAGGGCAGGGATGAAGACATGAACCGTCTCAGACTCTGACTGTTGCTGAAATTAATATACAATCATTAAAAGTGTGCAACTGGCAAATACAAGAAAGGTTAAGCATATGCTTTGGCTAGCTCAGAATTTTATACAACGCAATTAGGAAATGCACAGACCAAAGAGACCATGTGGCATGTCCCAATAAAAATACTGTCAATTAAATTCTTCCTCTAATATCTATTATTTCACTCTTGTATGTCCTAACATAATACACCTCCACCACCTCCTTGGGTTTTTCCACATATGCATAACTCTGTATAAAATGCTGGGCAACCTTGTTATAATATGCCTCACTGGAGTCTGCATATTTCCTGTAGACCCATGATGTGGTCCACATCCAGCTTGTAGCAGGGACTGGCTGGCGTCTTACACGTTTCCAGGCAGTCACTCGGTCAGTCACTACTGCTCTCTGCAGTGTTAACAGGGGTCACCCTGTAATTAAGCCTCGAAATTCCATGAACCTTGCTAATCACAAGTTGTACATTTGTTGACTTATGTTAAACGTTGTTAGGTTTCACTTTGTCCATGCCCTTTAAGGATCTGGAATACTTCAATAAGATCTTGGGTGTGAACATTTCCAGCTTCTGCCGCCTCTCCTAACTCAGCAGTAATCTATTGGATATTATAAGCTTAGCCTCTGAAGGTTAATCTCACTAAAATAGAAAAAAAAACAGGTTCAAATCGACCATTTAATTGTCCGAGTCCCAACTAAAAAATTAGCTTAACTGATCTACTATAAAAAGGTTATAAAGAGTACAGAATTGTTGGGAGATTCTGTTAATACCACCCCAATCCAAACTAGAACAGCACAAGATTCTGAAGCTTAAAGCAACGGTAAAAGCATTGCTAAAGAGAGTGGTCTGGAATTTCATGGAGAATAAAGTGTAAACATATTTTCATAAGGAAGGTTAATTAAATGTCTGTGTCTGTAATTTTGAAATGACCTCTGGTTTAGACAGCAGTTGTAAAGCAAATAAATTTGAGTTACAGTACAAATAAATGCATAAGCAACAAAATAATGGGTAACCCAAAGCAAAAGTTTACATGAATAGCAACTGATTAATTGTCTGATGATTCACTCTCCTTGGGGGAAAAAATCATGCAAAAAATATAATGAAATAAGAGCTAAATGTAAAGCTCTTGTTCCCAGCACTCCACCAATTTGGAGCTGGTTGATAGGAGCTGTCAAGTGTAGTTTGAGATAACTTACTTTCCTTTGTTATTTTCACTCCCTGAAAGAAAGTGCCTAGCTACCCACTTCCACAGCACAGCTGAAGACGACAAAGTTACTGCTCAAAATCTTTTAAAAGTGATTGTTTTATGGCATGTATTATTTATTAATTTACTCAAGAAGTGTTCACAGTCTGGGTCAGATGATTGAGAACAGTATATAGTGCAAAGTTAATTGGTTGGTTAAAGCTTAAAGACCCAGCCATTGTACCAAAATGTAATCATTCTATGGCGGCTTGGAGAAAAAGGAAGAAATGCAGACACCAAAACATTGTAGTCATTTTGAAGGTGATTTTTTTGTGGCAATTTACTCGACATGAAACTTCATAACCACTGCTGCAAATCCAGTACACTGGCAGCATCCAAACATTTCAATTAAAGATTTGTAGCTACTTACAGCTAGAATTAAAAATGCAGGAAATGTTGCTGCGCACACAAATCTGGTGTGGACATGGAGCCCAAAATTTCTGCATTATAAATTAAATTTGGGGATGAACAGTCTTAAACTCTTTTTGTTTTAAAAAGCACCATATCCATATTAAAGAATTCAGTGCGTGAATTTTTTTTTCCTAACCTCATTTGCTAGTTAATTAACTATCTTAAATTGATGCCCTCTAGTTCCTAACTCACCACCCAATGGAAATAATTTTTCTACTTTTAAAGTCTGTGTGTATGTACATATTAAACATTTATAATATTAATTTGGCGCTCTGAATTAAAAGCTTATTCGTTGCTCGGAAAAGGGGATGAAGTGATTGCTGATATATTTCCATCCTTATTTCGTAGATTCTGTAGAGGGATTTCCCCATGTTTTATTATCAACCCAGGTTGTCTGAGCTTGATTGTTTGCAGCTACACGAACAACACACGCTGCAGAATAGGTTCAGAAGGAGTCAAGCCAGGCGGGTGCAGCTGAAATGTGTAGTGACTAAGCAAGTCGTCATTCGATAACGATACAACAGACAATTGAAAAACATGATAGACACTGAACAAAATCTCACAAGGCTCAGATATCACATGAGACTCAGAAATCACACAAGATTGAAGTTTTTTTTTGTTTGAGGGCAGGTGGGGGAAGAAGAGGAGGAGAAAGACAAACAAAAAACTGAATCAGGATCCTGCCAAAATTTAAAGATCTGCTTCAGATTTTTAAACAGATTGAACTTATGCCTCTTTGTCCAATTCCACACTTATGGTTAAAAAAACTTAAATTTATAGTGTCTTTCATATTGAGAAGACGTCCCAAAGTGCTTAATAGTACTGGCTGGGACCTCTAGTTGGGGGTGTTAGCTGAGGGGGTGGGAGGGGAAAGATGACCAAAAGCAGTCAGAGAGGTAGGTCTTGACACAGACCTTGAGCAAGGTGAGGTTGGGAGTCAGATGGTCTCCAGGATGGAGTTTCACAGAATGGAGGCAAAAAAAACAAAGTCTGACTGCTGATGGCAGGAGACATGAAGCCGGAGGGTAATAATAATAATCCTTGCATTTGATATAGCGCTTTTCACGTCGGGAGGACGTCCCAAAGCGCTTCACAGAAAACACTGTAAAGTGAATTGACTGTATATTTGTGGGCGAACGCGGCAGCCAATTGCGCACAGCAATGTCCCACAAACAGTCGTAGATTGAAAATGACCAATTTATTATTGTTTTTGGTTTTGGAGGGATTATTATTAGGCTCTGTTTGGAGTAAGGAAACTTGCCCAAGGTTTCGCCCTGTGCCTGGAATTGAACTCAGGTCTCTCGCTTGCAAAGCGAGTGCTCTAACCACTGAGCTGCAGGACTTTTAACTATTGCTATACAACTTGCAGCAACTGCAATGAACAAGATTGCATGAAAATAACAATTATTCCCAGACATCAAGCCAGTGGGTATTACATTATACACAGAGTCCTGTAGCTCAGTGGTTACGGGCATAAGCGAGAGACCTGGGTTTGAATCCCAACAGGGCGAAATGTTGGGCAAGTTCTTACTCCACACGCCTCTGTTTACCTAGCAGTAAGTAGGTACCCAGTTGTTAACTGATTGGCAGATTGCTTTTCCGGGGGTAATAATTCCTTCAAAAAAAAATAATGAACTGGTCACTTCAATCCACGACTGTTTGTGGGACATTGTTGTGTGCAATTGACTGCTGCGTTTCACCACAAAATATACAGTCAATTAACTTTACGGTATATTCTGTGAAGCGTTTCGAGACATCTCAAAGATGTGATAAGGCACGATATCAAATGCAAGGATTATTATTACATTATTCCCATCATAAAGCAATTTGTGCAACTGGAGGCAAGACCCACACAATCATGCTGTTATTACATCATGCAGATATTGCAATTTATGGAGTAGCAGTTTATTTTAAAAGTGGGGAGAGATTGAGAGCATTTCTGAATAAGTCATTGAAATATTCACTGAGATGATGATCCAATTTCCATACCCTGAAGTTATACTTTTTAGCTTTTGGATAAGAGCAAGAACAAAAACAGACCTTAGTACATGTCACACGCCTTTCAGAGCAATAGCATACCAGTGAGCTACTGCAATGCCTAACCCATCTGCTTGTACTAATTTAATGGGAGTGAAGTCACATCTGTGAACACACCCTTCAGAAATCACGACAGCTTGGCAGAGCAGTGTGGAACTCAAACATCACGCTAGATTCTCTTTCTGAATCAGAATATCTTAGATATGAAGTGGCAGGTGCTGCAACTTGTGCAAAAAATAGAATTGTGAAATAACCAATTCATAAAAGTCTCATAATTCATAAAAGAAAACTTGACAGAAAACTGTCCACAATCACCTCTCTTGTTCTGAAAAAATTGACTTGCAGATTTTGCAAGACCAGAAGAGGAATCTCTTTCATGTAACTTACAGTCCACAATGAGATGAATTAAGTGTTCAACTGTCCTAAGCAATGAGAACATTGTCGACCCAAAATTCCAGGAATAGTTAGGGAAGCAAATAAATTAATTGCTTTAGATTACCAACAACTTGTGGAGGATCAACAGTCAAACAAGCAATTGAAGGAAGTACTTTGTTCAATTGACAAAAGTATTAATAATAATCATTTTTGCATCTGATATAGCACTTTTTCACATCTTCTAGACATCTCAAGATGCTTCACAGAATATACTGTAAAGTTAATTGACTGTATATTTGCGGATAGAGTGACCAAATTATTTTTTTTTTCTTGAGGGATTATTAATCCCGGAAAAGTGATCCACCAATCGATGAGCAACCGGGTTCCTACTTACTGCTAGGTGAACAGAGGCGTGTGGAGTAAGGAAACTTGGCCAACATTTCACCCTGCCGGGAATACAACCCAGGTCTCTCACTTGAGACCTGAGTGCTCTAACCACTGAGCTACAGGATTCCATTAAGGAAACATAGTGCAAACATTTGCTTGACCTATGAATAGAAAAGCTGCAGTGAAAAAGAGAAAAGATACCGTGTTATCATGTTCATACTTGCGGACTGATAACACTCTTAAGCATGCAGGCATATGCCGAACCTTATTAAAACAAGTTATTTACAAAACAACCTTCATTTTGAGAGAGTTTAGATCAGCAAGTGTCAGATCAAATTGATGTCTTTTGAAGGAACATTCAATGGAATATTTAATTGAACTTTAGGCTTTCAGGGTTCATCTTTGTTCTAAGCATCACAAACAATTAAAAGTTCAGTTTTGCAATTTATACATTGAAATGACAAATATTTACATAAAGTGAAAGCTTTTTTTAAAAAAAGACTACTGTAGGTTACCACTGAAACAATTTAGCTGGTTAAGGTTAATTACCAGGGCTCTAAGCTAATTGGGAACTCAATGAAGACTTGTGACTTCTGAAGCAATGCAATTTGAATTAGCAGCTTTTGTTTAATGTTGCACTCAGTCCAGGACAGCTTTGTTAGCACCCATGCACCCAATTAATCCTGCAAGTATTACATTTCAAAGATTTTTTTTCCCCAAAAAAAATCTTTGTAGGAAAGCGACTTGAAGGGGATTGAAAAAAGGCAGGACAGTGGGATTGATTGAAAACCTTGCTTTGAGAGCAAGTCAGTGTAGTTTGATGGGCTGGATAGCCGCCTTCTGTGGTACAAATTTCTATTAAATAACCCCCCCCACCCCCTTACCATTTTCTACAATATGTATACATTACCAAAACAGTTACTTTTATACCTGCAGAAGATGAGTCATAAAACCAAATACTTTAAAGTCCTCTTTAAAGTGTTTGAAATTTGTTTTAAAGAATTACATCACTTCCTCTAAACTTAAATACGTTTTTTTAAAAATACTGCATTTCACAATTATAATCCTAAAGACCATTCTTACTCATACATTAGTGCAAAGCTCGTGAGTTTCTTCTTGTAGAATATTTAATGTGTACTCTAGAATATGGTGCTACAAATGGCTTTAACAGCCTGCAGCATTCACCAGAAAAAGTACATCCGCATCTAAACCTTAAAAAGGATAACACTTCAAAATAGAAATTGATGAAAATGTCAGGTATCCCAGGAGCACTACAGCTCTTTCTAGCATTCCAGAATAAGCAAGGAAAGCACACCCTTGAGCCTCATAAACTGAAACAGCAGCAGGTCTAATCAGGATGGGCACCCTGAGATCAGTGGTTTATTTAACAAAATATTAGTAAATTTTAAAAAACGCAGGGTACCAATTTCACATAAATACTCGAGGATAAGCCTGAAGGACTCTTCCTTGGAATGACTAAGATGTGACAGAAGAAGAATTCAGAAATCTAGTAGCTGTTATTGAGCAACTTGGGGTCTCGGATTTAAAAACAACAACAAATTGCATATATATAGCGCTGTTCACGTCAGGAGGATGTCCCAAGGTGCTGTAAATCATAATGTTAAAAGAGACAATACAATATTAATTGACATTTATATAGCACGTTTTGCCTTGTGTTGATGTGTTTAATTATAGACACCACAAGCTGAAGTGAAAGTAGTTTTCCAAAGATCATGTTTTTGAAGTAAAGTATTCTCATAAAAGTGAGGACATTACCTCTAGAATACTGTAATTTACATTGAGCTTGCTCTGCCTTCAGTTAGAAGATAATGGTTGAGATGTGTAAGAAAACAAACAATGGAACAGAAAAACTTTTCTAAGAAAATACAAACTGTACTAAGGTAGCGTGCATTCATTTTTTTTCACCCCCAACAGGTGTGTAGGTAAGCTTAATTTAAAAACATAAGACAAAACAGCAATAAATTTTACTTTAGTTGGTTTTGTTCAGTTGAAGCCCTTTTTGTACTATCATTTACTATACTTTTTGTACTATAATGAGCAGCAAAGCAGGTCAGGCAAACAATGCTGTGCAGAGCAGACTAAAAATAGTCACTTACAGCGAATTGCTGGCCCCCTGCAGCAATGCTCGGTGCCCCATACACATCACAGAAATGTGGATAGCTCTAAATCAAAGAAAATTGGCATTTAATAGATTTAAATCTTCACCATATTTGTTCAACTTAAGTCACTACATGAACATTGAAGGCATGAAACAGAAGTTCCACCATGTTTACATTTTCACTAGGTATATTTACAGTGTCTCACCACTGAAATAAATGATACATGCAATATAACCACACATTTAAGAAATTTTGATTGAATTATCTGAAGTGTATATAAAGATCACAAACATGTTGCTCCTTTTAGCAGAAGTATTAAAAACAAAGCATATAAAAAGCACCTAATTTATAGAACCAAATACATTGCTTGTATTACACATCAGAAATTGGATTGGCTCTGATACTAGCTACAATCAAAGGTTTCAATGTTCTCTTAATCCAAGTATATTAGATGCTTTATTAGAGCTGACATCAAACCTAACTTCAATGGATGATTTCATTACAGCTCCAATTCAAAATCATGCTGAGCATATAATTTAACCGAGACCTTTTCGGTTGTTTGCACTAAACTTTTACACACACCGGACCCAAACTGCAGTCTCATCTCAAGGGCAATGGATGGCAGTACAATTGAGGTGAACAGTTGCTGAAGTGCCCTACAGCTTTTGGACAGTGTCTTAATTACAATCCGTTACAAAGATGTGCTGGTTATACAATGTCTTGAGATCCATTAGAATTTATTATTAGAATGTGTTCTAATACATCTCCACAGACTTCTCTTCCCTGCTCTCCTCACTCAACCTCTCCTTACACATAAACTCCCCCACTCACAGTCACGGCCACCCACTCGATTTGGTGATCACCCGGGGCCTCAGTGTCTCGGATGTCACTATTACCGACAAGGCCATCTCTGACCACTACTTCATCTCCTTCACCACCTCCACCCCCCTCCCCACCTCCACCAGACCCACCACCATCTTCTACCGCCCTTGGAAGAAGTTACCCCCACAATCCCTAACCGATGCCTTGGAGTCCTCTGAACTCCTCTCCCTCTGGCCTTCAACCCTCACCGACCCCTCTTCTCCTCTCTCCCTCCTCCACAATACCCTCTCCTCCACACTCGATACTCTTGCCCCCATCACTTCCCGCACTGTCTCCTACTCCCGCTCCTCCCCCTGGTACACCACCCACCTCCGCTCACTGAAAAGCCAGGTGCGGGCTGCTGAACGCACCTGTGTCAAATCTGGCCTAACGGTCCACCGACAAATCTGGCTGGACCTCCTCAAAATTTACCGCTCCACTCTAGCCTCGGCCAAGTCGTCCTTCTACTCCAGGATAATCCTGGAGGCGAAGAACAACCCCAGGCTACTGTTTTCCACCACAACCCGACTCCTCCGTCCCCCCCACCACCCCGCGCAGGTCATCTCCTCCAACCTTCACTGCGAGGAGATGCTGGATTTCCTTGAATCCAAGATCAAGGGAATTCGCTCCGCGGTCACTTCCCCTCCAACATCCACCAACCCCCCACCCCCTCACTCCGACTGCTACCCATCCTCCCCTACTCACTTTTGTACCCGTTTCCCCACCCTCTGTCACGAAACTCATCCTATCCCTAAAACCAACCACCTGCTCCCTTGACCCCATCCCCACTCCACTCCTTATCTCCCAGCTCCACTTTCTTGCCCCACATATCACCGACATCATCAACCTGTCCCTCTCCTCTGGCTCTGTCCCCATTCCCTTAAAAACTGCCACCATCACGCCCACCCTGAAAAAACCCTCCCTTGATGCGTCGCAGCTATCAAGCTACCGGCCCATCTCCAACCTCCCCTTTCTCTCCAAGGTCCTGGAAAGAGTTGTCGCCTCCCAACTGCGCTCTTTCCTTTCCACCCATTCTCTTTTCGAACCCCTTCAGTCAGGTTTCCGTGCTGCCCATAGCACAGAAACTGCCCTGGTCAAGGTCACCAATGATATCCTGACCATCTGTGACCAGGGCTCCCTCTGCCTCCTCGACCTATCGGCAGCATTCGATACGGTCGACCACGCTATCCTACTCCACCGCTTGTCCTCCCACCTCAACCTTCAAGGCACTGTCCTTGAATGGTTTAGGTCGTACCTTTCTCACCGTCTTCACTTTGTCTCGACGAATGGCTTCTCCTCCACCCCCCGTACTGTCTCATGTGGTGTCCCTCAGGGCTCTGTCCTCGGTCCCCTCCTCTTCACCCTCTATATGCTCCCCCTCGGTGACATCATCCGCAGACATGGAGTTAACTTCCACATGTATGCGGATGACACCCAACTCTACCTTTCCTCCTCTACTCTCAACTCCACGACCACCGATGTCCTGACAGCTGCCTGTCCGACATCGAGTCCTGGACGAGAGACAACTTTCTTCAGCTCAACGTGCGAAAAACCGAGGCCCTCCTGATTGGCTCACGTCAGCGCCTCCGCACCTCAGGCGCTGACACCATCAGCATCCAAGGCTGCACTCTCCACCTCTCAAAGCCAGTCAGGAACCTCGGCGTTTTGTTCGACCCTGAGCTGTCCTTTCTCCCTCACATCCGCACCACAACTGGCACCGCCTTCCATCACCTCCGGAACATCGCCAGACTACGGCACTACCTCACCCCTCACGCTGCTGAAACCCTGGTCCACGCCTTTGTCACCTCAAGGCTGGACTATGGGAACTCTCTCCTCGCCGGCCTTCCCGCCACCTCCCTCCACAAGCTGCAGGTCATTCAGAACTCTGCAGCTCGTGTACTGTCCCGCACCAGGCTTCGGGACCACATCACTCCCACCCTCGCTCGCCTCCACTGGCTCCCCATCCCCCAGAGGATTGATTTCAAGATCCTCATCCTCACCTACAAGGCCATTCACGGCCTTGCTCCCTCCTACCTCTCCAACCTACTATCCCCCTACCTACCTGCCCGTACCCTCCGTTCCTCCGGCTCCGGTCTGCTCCACGTCCCCCGCCCCAACCGCCCTACCATCGGTGGTCGGGCCTTCAGCCTCTCAGCCCCGAGGCTCTGGAACTCTATCCCCCAGTGCCTTCGCCGCTTCCTCCCTTTCCTCCTTCAAGGCCGGTCTCAAAACCTTTCTCTTTGACCGAGCCTTCAGCTCCCCTCTCGACTCTCTTCCCCCTTCTCGCTCCCTCCCTTCCCTCCCCTCACCCTGACCATTTCCCCCCTCCTTGCTCCCTCCCCTCCCCTCACCCTGACCATTTCCCCCCTGCTCGGGTCATGACCCAACTGTGCAGCGCCTTGGGACGTCCTCCTGACGTGAAAGGCACTTTATAAATGGAATCTTGTTGTTGTTGTTGTTGTTGTGTTTATATCATATCCTATTAAAACTGCCTGATTAAGATAAACATTTCTGGCATGCCATGCACAATATGAAAATTAAGCTGATAAAAAATATTTTATTTCCACTACAAAAATTGTTAAATTAGCCAGAGAAAAGAAAGCCATTGATTGTAAAGATTGCATTTGATATAATACCTTATCATGTTGTTGAAATGTATTTCAACATGATGGTGTATTTATGGTGGTGTATTTATGGGTAAAAGCAGCAGAAAATATGTACTCAATGTCCCCCAACCAGTCAAAAATGGAATAACAAATTTAATTTGGACAATTGTTGGCCAAGACTCAGGGAGAAACTCCATTCTCTTTTCAAATAGTGCCATGGGATCTTTAAGGTCCATCTGAAGGGGCAGCTAGATGTCTCATTTGAAGGATGGTACTTCTAAAATTGCAGTGCTCTCGCAGCATGCACTGGAGTATCAGCTTTAATCTATATCTTTTGGACTCAGAGGTGAGTGTCACCAATTCAGCCCGGTTGAGAATAGAACCAGTGCAGAAAGTGACCTTGTATTGAATCACCGTCAACAACAACAACTTGTACTTATATAGCACCGCTCACGCAGGGTAGTGTCCCAGAGCGCTTATTGTCCAGGTAAGAACACCTGAGCAAAATAGCAGCAACACAAAAAGGATAAATGCAACAGTGGCCCCAAACACAGTCTCCATTCCCACCGCGCCCTCTCCCCCACACCCCTACCCGAAGTTGGCAATTACAATTTCAGAGTTTGAAAAGATAAGTAGGACTCTGGATATTTCCCTGGGTACTGGAAGCGTTTTTCAACCTGGTAGTGTCACATTCCCTAGCACAATTACTTATTGCACTGTACAAAGCCACAACTGTAATATAGCAACTTTAGAATAAAAAAAGGGAGGGCAGGGGGCGGGAGGTAACTGGCATCCCCTTGGAGCTGACCTGACTACAAGGTGACATGTCTGGCAATAGAATATTATGATCGAGTCAATACTTTGTGGGAATCTCAGTAGTTTGTGAATCAGTACTCCAAGACACTGTCACTGTGCAGACCAGCCAGCCTGGCTCATTGCCAGAACAGGGGGAGAACAATCACTGGGGGCAGAAATTCTTCCCATTCAACCACCGTTAACCCAGTAAATCAAAATCCTAACGGACAGGGTGGGAAAAATAGCAGGAAGCTCATCTTTCAATGGCAAATTATGCAGTTTTCACTGGTTAAACAGAACCCAACGCACACTCTGAGCTCCCCAAGATTTGGTTCTTGCCAAGCTGTGGCTAGTATTTCCTGAACTTAGGTAAGCAGGGCGAGTCACTCCAGGGAGATAAATGGGAAATATCCTTACACAAGTGCGATGCATGTATGGTTTGGATACTTTTAAGAATGACAATGGTTTCCGCATGTGTCAGACCAAAAAGTTACAATAAAAAGAATAAAATGTTCTCAAATAAGTATTTAGCTAAAAGGGTCTTGCTAAATGAACTATTGATTTTTAAATTGTTTAGAATGAATTAGATCACCCAAACAAAATAAGACTATGTATGGCAACTTTCAACCAAGTATCAAGGCTATGCATATTCTCCATCATCAATATGTGTTTATCCTAGAAATATGTTTCAATATATGGATCCGGATAATTTATACAATGCAATTTACATAGGACCTTTTATGCCAGTAAGATCTCAAAGCACTTTACAGAGCTGGCTGGGCATCTGAGCCGGCGGAAAGGAAAAAGAGCTAATATAATAATCCTTACATTTGATATAGTGCCTTATCATTTCGTCGTGAGATCCCAAAGCGCTTCACAGAATATATTGTAAAGTAGATTGACTGTATATTTTGTGGGCAAAACACAGCAGCCAGCTGCGTACAGCAATGTCCCATAAAAAACGTGGATTGTGTGACCAATTTTATTTGGGGGATCGTTGGCCAGAACACCGGAAGAAACTACCTTCTCATTTCAAATAATGCCATGGGATCTTTAACATTCACCTGAACAGGCAGATGGACCTCATTTTAACATCTCATCCGAAGAATGGCACTTCCGACAATGCAAATAGTAGGGTGGATGAAGCAGGGGACATGAAGCAAGTTCGTATTCACTAAGTGAAGAAGTGGCCAAGGTGGTAGGATTACAGGAGACCGCAGAGTTGGGTGGAGTGAGGCCGTGGAGTAATTTGAACAATAATGTTATTATAATTATTATATAATGATTGATGACTTATAATCATCCTTGAATTTGGTATAGTGCCTGATCACATCAAAACATCTCAAAGAGCTTTACAAAATTTTACTGTGAGGGGCTGGCACTGTATATTTGTAGGTGAAAGTGGCAGACAATTTATGTACAGCAAGGGCTTGGGCCACAAACAGCCATGAAGTAAATTACTCATTTTATCTGAGGGATTGTTAGCTAGGGTCACCTGTCAAATTAATTTAGAATAATGCCATCATATTCTTCCATCTCACAAAACCATCAGGAAAAGATCTGAATCCTTATTATTTATTAACAAGCTGTTAATCATTTACTAACAATCAGTGATTTTTCCCTGAGTGATATCCATTCAATATCATGCAGGATAATACAAAAGAATTGGCCCACAAATATACCAATTCTTCAACAGAACTATAAGAAACTTTAGGAATATTGCTCCGAATGTTCCAATCAGCATATTTCTTTAGTAATTAAACTTTTGATAGAGAAGCTAACAAATTCTGGTAAGAAACACAAAATGTGTTATTCAGCAGGCAAGAGTGATAGCTTTCTGTTTAGTTTTTGGATGAATAAAGTACTCTAGTCCTCCAGGAAATGGCAAAAGTCAAGTCCTTCAGTATGAAGGGTCTGCAATTTCTCAAGGAATTAATTGTATTTTTTTTTCTATTTATACAATTCTCTTGTGCAATCCTACACAAAACGATACATTAGAGTTCACTAACTCTGTTTACAAGCCCAACTTAGAGATGCACATAATTTTAATACTATTGTAGTTCAAATTAGGCTTTGGTCTCAATTAAATGGTTCTAAATGGAAGGGGACTCTGGGATGGAGTACCAAAGAGTGAGCAGGTAGACTGAAGGCCTGAGTCTGATAGTGGGGTGGGAAGTGTGGGGTGTGATGATGACCAGTAGATGCCAAGCAGAGGCAGCAGCTAGGTTGGTAGGATTTGAGGAGATCACAGATAGAGTAGAGCAAGACCATGGATGGATTAAAAAGTGAGGGCACAGATATGAAACTCGATCCTCTGGGGGATGGGGAGCCAAGCAAGGATGGGAATGGCAGGCTCACGAAGCTTAAAGCAAGAGAGAACACAAGCTGCAGAGTTTTGAATGGTCTGTAACTTGTGGAGGGAATCGTTAGGAAGTCCGGTAAGCAGAGAGTTGGTAGTGTCAAGCCTGGACATGATGAAAGCAAGTGATCATGTTATATAGTGTTGTGAAAGGTTAAATCTGATTCAATCATTTCATTTGAACATTTAAGGAATTGAATACAATTATTTGTACTGTTATTTTAAACTAGAAAATCGTATTTCACTTAATACCACAAGGCAAACCTACCTGCAAGTAATGGAAACCAAGAAGCCAATATTCTCTTTACCAAGAAAGATCCAACAACAATTAGCACATTGTCTGAACCCTACCACTAAAACTCAGTGCATATCATAACATAATAATCATACCATGTAATGTCACACCTATAACATTTTAACATCTCAGTTAATTTCTGTCAATTGTAGTGACTTTTTGTAGGGAAACACAGAAACCAATTTGTATAAGGCAATACTGCACAAACAGCTCCAAGATGAATGATTGATTAATCTAGACTCTAGAGAAATGCTGGCCTAGAAATGGGAAGAAAATTCCATCTGTTTTTGGGATGATTAACATCCATCTGAACAGACAGGACTTAAATGTCTCATTCAAAAGACAGCATCTCTGACAATGCAGCATTCCCCTGCAATGACACTGGAGTGTCATCTTAGACCACAAACTTAAAGTCCTGGCATGGGGCTTGACCCACAGCCTTCTGCCCCAGCAGCAAGAGCGATAACTAAGCAAAGCTGAAACGTATTATATGAAAGCATTTTTCGCTCAGTTTAAAATACCCTGTATCAACAATATGAATACAGCACCCACAGTACTATAGATCTGAACTTAAAAAACACTTACCCCAAATGGAGCATAAGAAGCAGCAGGCACTGAAGGTGGTGGGATAACAGGTGGAGGAGGAAATAAACCTAAAGCATTCAGGTTTAGGCCAGGGATCAAATGCGCTTGAAGCTGCAAAAATAAATGTTAACACCATAAACATGGCTCTCCATTTTGGGAAGTTTTACAGTATTTTGACAAGAAATTTATGCAATAACTTTTCCCTGTGTACATGGGCAAGATGGGCTTCTTCTGTGCTGTGAATTTCTAATGGTTCTACAGCCCTCAGGCTTGGATAGAATTGAGTTAACACAATAACAATGGTTATCTTCTCAGCTTCTTGTAATTCAATGAAATCTGATCACGTACCAATAAAGTTGGTCAAATATTAGGTTCAACTGAAGCAAGTCAAAATAAATCTACTTGAAATCCGGAGATTCTGGTTAGATATTTTTATATAAAAAATGCAACAGCAACAACTTGCACTTATATTGCATCCTTCACATAGGATGAAGTCTTGAGGTGCTTCACAGTAGCCGGGTTGGTTGATGAGCAAGGAGGAAGAAGAGGGAGGTGACAATAGGGAGGTCAAAGAGGCAGATTTTAAGGTGGGATTTAAAAATAGATGGGACTAGGCACCAAAATACACTCAGAAATTGATACAATTGAGCAAAATCTGTAGAATATTTCCTATCCCCATATCTCAACTATTCATAGCAGATTTCCTCCTCTTCTCAGATGACATTCTCCCCATGTCACCCTCCTAAGTCCTGGCAGCACAGAAAGAATTTGTTCAAGTGCTCTGAAACACTACCCTGTGTAGAGGGCCTATAAGTACACGTTGCTGTTCATCTCATTGATCCCTACATCTTTCAATAGAGTTCTCCAGCAGATACTTCTCTATTGTTTTTTTGATGGGAGTTGATGAACGCAGCATTACATCTCTTCGATCGTACCTTTGGTCATCCTTCCACCTCTCTGCCTTCCCTCAACCCTACGCCACCCCTCCCCCATGTCGGACCCCGACACCTGACTGTTCAGGGCTTTTGGACGTCCTCCTGACGTGAAAGGCACTCTATAAATGTAATTTTTTTGTCATTGTAGAGCTTTTAGATAAAAGTGACGATCATTTCATGACCTAAGATTTCAAATTATGAGAAAGACTCACAGAACTGAAGTTCTCACTGAAGTAGACAGGAGAAGATCAATGATCTAAGTCTTTAAATTTCTCAGAGGCAAAGATCTAGATGGCCATTTGGCTAAGAATGTATGTGCAGACTTGGATAGTTGTTTAAATTAAAGATGAGATTAAAAATTACTTTCTCCAATAGTTGTGGAACAGATTCCCCAAAAACTCCATTGATGCTACTGTGTCATGGGACGTCCTCCCGACATGAAAGGCACTTGACAAATGTAATTTGTTGTTTGTTGTTGTGTCAAATGAGTTATCTGGTTAAACAGTTTTGGGTAGTTACATGAAAAGATAGACATATCAAATATGCTGATAAAAATGTAAGTGCTTTTGAGCCGGGGCTTGCTTGAGAGACAAGAGGAAGAATATCAAACAGGAAGGTCAGGATTAATGGTGTGGATAATGGCGTGGGTGAATATTCTGGAGGAGTTTCTCAAATTCCATTGGTATATCAGAGAGCAGCCGTGCAGAACATTGCCCCAGGAAATAAGGTTCACTGGTGGATTTCATCATTCATTGTGTGGTCTGTAGAAAGAGCAGGTAAAAAATCATCCTTGGTTTTCCCTGCATGTTTAATGCTGTTTTGTGGATAGCCATTAAAGGTTACTTTGGTTAGATTAAAGGTCTAAACCTGGAAAGTTTATTTCTCTGCCATTAGTTGTATACCTCACATAGGTCTGGCCATGATTTGGGGGTGGGGAGAAGAGTATAGACAGGATTTGTCACCAAAACAATCTTCAAACATTGGTCTTCCAGTCATGATATTGGCACAATTGACCACAACAACAGGATATTACTATTTTCCACATCATAAAACCTTTACGACTGGAGGAAAATTGGCCAATTAGTTCTGAATTGCCAATTTTGCACTGTGGAATGTTTATTGGGGTTGACAAAGTTCAAACACAGTTAAACATCAAAGAAACTTCTTACCCCATCTGTGTGGCCTCGATTTAGACCAATACAAAAAGGTTAATGTGCACTATTAACTCAAAAACTTAACAGTACAAAGGTTCCCTGCACCACAAAGCAGACGTATCAATTAGGATACTTTTGAGACCAAAAGTCACAATAGGTTTTATGACATAGAACAAACCCATTATAGCACGGTCATCTGGGTCCAATGTCTCAGGCCCTTTGTGTATAACTAAAGGTGGGAAAATGGTCATTCAGTCACAACGATATAACTTCCTGTGTGTTGGGCCCATGACACCGGTTGCACACAATAAAAAGCCCAACTTCTAGATAGTCAGGTCACCATCACTTCCTGCGCCCTAAATGCTGACTTCACTTTCTATGCAAAGTGACATCAATACTGCTTCTTGTAGAAATCGTGCAGAAGCCCACCATTAATCTGTGAACATCTGCCTGCAGTAAATGACCCAGCAATATTGTAACTTCAGGATAAGCAGTACACTATTAGCCCATCCAATATATTCATCCAATTGAATCCTAGATTGATTTGCTGTATTAACCTCTAAACCTAATAACCTTGAATCATTTTAGTTGGTCTACTTCATATTTGAAACACTATGGAGCCTTTTGCTTTTTCTGCACCTACACACTAGGATCAGGAAGTTGGTCAGTCAACACCTGACATGTACTGCACTTTTGTATACCCCAGGACGATCATACCCCACATTGTATACGCCCCATGGTACACTGAAGCGTGAAATAACAGGGTCCAACTGTATTAGGTTGCTAAATTCTCAACAGAATGGAAAAATTGAGGATTAATCACATTTCTTGCTCTTGATGAAGATATCCATACTTAGGAAATGATTGAAATTAATTTGTGGTTTCCATCATCTCAACTCTCAAAAAATGTGTTTAATGCTGGAGCATTCAGTTCTATCCAGTACCACCATTAACTTTGAAATGTAATCACAGATGGTGAGACTATTTGCTTCAGCTTCTTTGGAAGGGGAGCCCACTTATAACATGGAGTCTTATTTTATAGACCCCCAACCACCGTATCATTAATGGAATCCAACTGCTTCTCCCCGCCCTCCCACACACATGCACAAACACAAAGTTACTCAATGTTGTTGCTGTGGCTCTGACAGACACACACCATCAAGTCCTGTACTTATTTTTGAATAAAAACATATTCTGGCAAACTTACATTCATAGCAGCCATGTCATTATCATAGGATTCCCTGATTTTCTTCATAATTTCTTCTTCAGCTTTGGAGCACGCTTCAATACTGCCTTTTAAGGTAATGGTCCTTTCTGGATTATAAAGCGTCAAGTCTTGCAAGCTGCCAAACATAATGTTTTTTTTAAATGTATTCTTAATAACAGTTCAAACACCAAAAAACTGAACACCATACATTCAAACTTACGGAGAGATAGTGATTTTGGTGTCTGTATCCTGCTCAATCTTTTTCAGATTTCTTCCTTCTTTACCAATAAGTCGGCCAACAAAATTGTTGTGTGCTAAAATCTTCAAAGGAATTTCTCCTGTGCTGCAAATAGGATTTAAAATTAAATCTTGCACATTATTTTCTGTGACTGTACAGTAGTGAAATCTGTATCAAATTAATATCAAATGTTAATAACTATAGTTAACTAACATTAAAATTATAATAATCCTGGCATTTGGAATAGTGCCTTTCACGTTGGGAGGATGGCCAAAAGCGCTTCACAGGATTTACTGTGAAGCGGAGTGACTGTATTTGTGGGCAAACCCCAGAGCCAATTTGGCACAGGAATGTCCCACAAACAGCCATGAAGTGAATGACCAATTTTATTTTGGGGTTTGTTGACCCCAGGAGAAACTCCCTTCTCTTTTTCGATACTGTCATGGGATCTTTAACATCCATCTGAATAGGCAGGTGGGATCTCGGTCTAAACATCTCATCTGAAGGACAGCACCTCCAACAATGCAAGACACCCACATTGGAGTGTCATCTTAAACTATGTGATTTCAAGACCCATTATGGGACTTGAACCCACAACTTTCTGACTCAGAGGCGAGTACTACCACTGAGCCAGGCTGGCACACATTGATAATATTCTCAGCATGCACACATTGGGGAAGAATGAAACATGTAAGACTGCCAGGAAAAGACCTTCCCCAATGGCACAGGGCCATATGGACCAGGAAGGTCCCAGGTTTAACTCCAATCTCAGCTGCATTATCTGATCTCACCTGTGTTAGCAAAAGGGAGTTGCTACAATCGTCTTCAGTTTGCCCAGGCAATGCATTAGGAAAACAATTTAGAAGAGCCAGTATACCCACTTCTAGCTCATTAGACTCCAGCAGTACACCAACACACACTCTGGAGTCCCCAAGTCATGGCTCTTCCCAACCTGCATCTAATGCTCTCTGGAAGAGGTAGGGAGAGCACGTCTCTCCTGGGAGAAAGTACACATTCCATTCCAGACACAGGGGAGTTTCCATGTGTAGGTACCATACACATGTGGAACACTGATTTGGATATCTTAATATGGTAAAATGTGTAAGACACCAGATGAACCCCAAAAATATTTATTGGTCATAAGTGGGCAATAGTTGATAAGATCAGTTGATTTCCCACCTTTCCTCTCTTCCGCCTCCCACCACCACCAACCAATAGTTAGGCTGTCAAAAACGCATAAGAGGAATACACTTGAGAAATCTATTGGAGTCATACTCATATCTGTGAAACTGCATACCTCAGCACAGGGCATTGCCTTCATAATCTAAGAAAAATAATTGGGGAGGGGGAAGAAAAAGAACTACAATGAAATAAACTATTGGAATCAAAATTGAGGCCAACATTAGTAAAGGAATGAATGCAATTGCTTTCTGGGTTCCAACTAAATTGTCTCATGTTTAGGGTTCTGAACACATCAGTTGCACCATTTACTTACAATTTTGTATCCTGAGCTTCCTTCTGCATGATTTCTGTAATCATCCTACAAGCAGCAGAACACCCATCTGGCGTTGAGTGAATAGTTATTGGTTTCTCAGCAGCACCCGCATTTTCCTTACGATGGATATCAATCCTGAACACAAATATGCAGCATTGACATTAGTAACAAGAACCAAGAGAATAATACTGAGTCTGTGTAGGTCTGTTCAAATGGCAGAGTTTCAACACATCTTAAACATGCAATCCATTTCTAAGTTGGGCTGGCAGGGGGAGGGTAAGAATAGGGAAAGGGGGAAGTACCACAACCTCCTCCCCAATTCCAATCGGCTCTTTTTGTGTCGGGCACTTTCTTCAGTAACAATGGGCTAGAAACCAACTCTCCAAACTCAGAATATAGATCAGCTCCTGAGAGAAGCAGGGCAGCAGGAATGCGCTCATCAATTTTCCATCCATGTGAGAGAAAAAAGCCTGAATCAACTTGACAGTATGGTTATAATCCAAGGCCTCGCCATGTGGAAATCAGAACATACATGAATCTTGCCATCAGATTGTTCAGTGCACTGAAGATTCAGATTCTATACCATTTCATTACTGAGCATCAGAGGAGGAATGAGCAATTCAAGTCTTCTTTCCATTGGAGACTGCATCCCTTTCTCAAACCCTATAGGTAGCTTGTAAGAACTAAGGGAATTACATTAGGAAAGTGCAAAATGAAGCATTCTAGTGAGGAAGAGAGAAACCACAAAGCATCTTAGAATCAAACAAACATTTTAATTCATATGAAGCTGCAAAGTTCTATAGTTTTAAACTTAAACACTTAGAAGCTATTCTCAATCTACATCGGTACACAGTTTTAAAAAGGATTAACCCCAAGATATTTGGGGCTTCAAAACACTCAGTTATCCACATATAAGCAACTTCACATTTTAGAAGATACAGAGGAAAAAAACAAATAGTTTCACCAATGTCACTTTCAGATTCAGTTCTGAAAATGACTCGCCCCTCCCCACCAAAAAACCCAAAGGTTTTCTCAAGTCTTAATAGCCTTATTGTTGAGTTGATTATTGTTTGCTTAATAGTTCAGTGATAAATACTGTAAATAATAACTGTGATAAAGCAGATTCTGCTAATTTGTTTATCTATCTATCAGCCACCACACCTGGCTCTGTTAACATAGCAAAGTTCAAACTGGTTGCAAGATAAACCTTTGTTTACCTTCTTTGCTATCCGATGAGTGTAGCCAAGTAACCAAATTTTTTGGAAATTTCTAAACTGAATGGAGGGGCAACACTGATAAAGAAAGCTTCAAGCTTTCAGTAAAAGGAAAAAGAATAGCGAAACGTCAGGTGAGTCTCGATTGGTTCTTAGTGAACAGCCCACAAAACATGAAGGGTGTTCTGGCTTCTGATCCGGAACAATTCTATCTCTGAGGTTTGAGATTTTGATCTTAGAAGCTTTCACAATAATAATCATCCTTGCTTTTGATATTGAGCCTTTCACATCAGGACGATGTCTCAAAGCATTGCACAGGATTTAATGTAATGCATAATGACTATTTTGTAGATGAATGTGGCAACTAATTTGTGGACAAGAATGCCCAACAAACCGCCATGAAATGAATGTCACTTTTTATCTGGGTGATTGTTGCCCAGGACAAAGGGAGAAACTCCCTTCTCTTCTTCAATAGTGCCATGGGATCTTTAAGATCCACCTGACCAGGCAGATGGAACCTCGGTTTAATGTCTCAGCCAAGGACAATGCAGCGCTCTCCCAGCACTGGATTGGAGCTTCAGCCTAGACTATATGAATTCAAAGTTCAGCCATGAGGCTTGAACCCATAACCCTCTGATTCAAGAGATGACAGTGATACTTACTGAGCCAGGCTGAAAAGATTATTGATGTAAAGATCGAAACTTCAAGTATTGGGTAAGGGATACACATATTATTTCGTTTATTTTTAGGTCCTCATATTGGAGTTTAGACTTCTTTCTGTTATGCGTGCTCTTCCCTTAGTTAGGTCAAGAACTTTGACACGGTAGGTTAATGCCCCAAGTGCTATTTTAATGCCAGTCAAGCTCTTGTTATGAGGTGGGTGTCTTTTGTGAATGTCTGAAAAGGAAAACAAATCCTATAAATATGGATTGGAATTCCTGGGTCCACATNAAAAAATGACTACGGTTGACATGCATTCATGAACTCTTAAGTTAGATATGAACTCGTACTTCCTTTATCCCAGCATTTGTCTGCAATACCCTGCCACATTCCCGCCTTCACTATCAAGTAAAAACAACTATGCTCAGACAAAATATTGAGACAATTTCCCATATTTAAAAAGCTCTGCATTGAACGATACATACTTTGATTGTGTTTGTTTGGTGATATTCCGAATTGTTGCTCCTTCCTTCCCAATGATGGCGCCTACAAACTGAGTCGGAACCATAATTCGCAGAGGAACATCAGATTGCTGTTTCGGTCGAGCTGTGCCTCCAGGAGAGCCTTGTCTGGGTGGACCTCGCTGCCCAAGCCCTCGCCGTGCTTGCGGAGGTGGCTGTTGTGAGCTCTGTGGACCAGCCATCTCATCAGGGATATACGTTACCTTTAGCGAGTAATTCTCCAACATGTAGCCATTAAGTTTCTCAATCGCTCTATTAAAGAAAATAAACTCAATGTAAAATCTGCACTAGGCTTTGCATGGGGAGGCGGGGGTCAGTGGATAAGAGTGAATGGTGTAGTGGATAGAACTTCAGCTTACAGATGGGAAGCTTGTTGGTTTGAATCTTGGCCCAGCTTGAGCTTGCTGGTTTCAGCTGGAGCTGCTTGGGGAGTCTAAATTGGTCCCAGCCTGTTGTGGTTATGAAGGTGAAAAGCAGGCAAGGTTCCCTTTACAGCACCCTCTATTGGTAGTGTGCCTGGTGCCAGCCTGGTGAGGAGGAGAGCCAGGATTGGTTGTGACACCCCCTACTGTTGAGTGACCTACAAACACTTACTTCTGAAGACTCATGAACATATAAAATATAATATTAATATTGGAGTCCTTAGCTCAGTGGTTAGAGCACTCGCCTTGCAAGCAAGACACCTGGGTTCAATTCCAGGCAGGGCGAAACCTTGGGCAAGTTTCCTTACTACACACACCTAATAATAATCCCTCCAAAACAAAAAACAATAATAAATTGGTAATTTTCAATCCATGACTGTTTGTGGGACACTGCTGTGCGCAATTGGCTGCTGCATTTCGCCCACAAATATACAGTCAATTCACTTTACAGCATATTCTGTGAAGCACTTTGAGACATCTAGAAGACGTGAAAAGCGCTATATCAAATGCAAGGATTATTATTATTATATTGTTCAGATCCAGATATTTTTATTGGCCAATTATCTCTGCGTACCGGACATTAAATTAACTCTGCAATGGTTGTCTCAGTGTACTGAGCCATTGTACCGTTATTTTAATGTCTAGTCTTCTATAACAGATACCATTGGTTTTCATCCTAAGCTGTGCTTTCCGAAAGATGTGTTGCAATTTGTATTTCATTGCTGTCATTTAGTGCAACATTTTATTAGTATATTTAATATTGCAAATTTAGCAAAATATTAGGTCAAATAATCCTTTGCAATGTATCATACTATAGTTATCAAAAATCTGCACGTTAAATGCTTACAATGCATTTACAGTGTTCGGACTCGTGACAACCACTTTAGGGCAGGATAACAGATTTAGAATTCTGTACAACGTATTTGTGTCCAACAGATACAGGAACCATGCTTGTATTTGACAAACTCTAACTGGACTACTTCTAGGAGGACAACATTGATATTTTGCCCTCTTATGGGTTAATTTACTGCTTGAGTTAGAAGTGGATACAGTATGTTCAGTAGAGACTGGCAGAGCCAGTTGTAGAGGGGATGCTAGACTCATTTAAGGCTCAGCTTGTTATATGTAGTGGTTGCATTCTAGATGGTTGAGATCAAATGGGCTGAAGGAGCTTCCTGAATTATCTGAACCAATTGTGAATTTGTGAAACTAGCTAAAGTTGGCTCTTACAATTTTTAACCACGAGAGGGCAGGATTGCCTACACAAATGCATTTTAAAAAGTTATGCTGGGATGCGAACGAAACATTCAAACGAGGCAGTTTAACAAATATGTTGATCGATCAAAAAAGTGTAACAAAAATCTCATCATTTAGAATTGGTGGTTTCCTTTCTCACCACTAAGAGATATTAAGTGGAAGTCTGACAATTTCAAGTCTAAAGTCACCCTGGCCCCTGGCACTAAAGTCTAGTCCTTCAAAATTTCTGTTGAGTCAAATAATGTTCAAAGATACAGCATTACAATCTTAAACTCCTTCTATTGAAAGTTGATCGGCTTTTGTTCCAAAAAGCTCAGAATGATTCAATAGAAGTTGTGACCCATTTTGAGCTTTTTGGAACAAAACCCAATTATGGGTGGGGTGTCCCAAATGGCCACAACATAGCCAGTTTATACGAAACACTGTTTGTTCAATCAGTACTTGCTAAGTGCACTCACGGGTTGGAGGATCTCACAGTGTAAAGTGGGCTGGATGCCGTGTGCCTCTCTCCCTATAACTTGGACTGGAGGGTCTGCTGATCGGAGTCACGAGATCCTCATTCAAGAAATAACCTTGTGCTGATTTAATTATGGTGAGACCACTATGATCAAAATCTTAAACCATTCTTTCTTCCATCCCACAAGAAGTTGTGATATCCAATTGTATCAAACTCCTAAGCTACCGAGGAAATCCAAATTCAATAGCATCCAACACTTGCATAAGTTACTGGGTAAGATTCCACCTTAGCAAAGAAACAAAAGAAAATTGCCCATTTTGTCCCATTGCAATTATGCTCCTGTGCAAGTTATGCAGATGATTGATATGAATTAGCTCATTCTAGTATTTTTGAAAATGATAAAAAGAAGCTAAAAGTAAACAATCGTTGAAAGATAATTGGTACAAAAGAAATTGCACTGAAAGGATGAGACCAGGTAAGCTACCACCTGTCAAATAGTCTTCGAAAAGATGTGATCAGGGAACATTGTACTGCAGGCTGGAATTTCATTCTGTTGAGCCATCTACAGCAAATAAGCACATTCATCACCGCAGAGATATGCAGAGGACAGACAATCATCACCAAGCCCAATCGGGGAGGGAAAACAGGATAAGGATGATGTATATAATACTCCCAAATGAAGTAAGCAATCATGTACATTTCCACATCTTGTGATTAAAGTCAAATTAAAAATAGAAGATTATTAAAGCCAGTGGATGTAATACTCACTGTCTTGCATGTTCCTTGGTAGAATACGTAACATTCACTACTGCAGTCTCTGTATCTGTGTTAACTGCAGAACAAAAAGTGTGGAGTTAAAGAAATATCAATAAAGCTACAAGAGACATCTTATAAAAACAAACCAGACTTTTTAACTACACACCTTGTTCGCAATTCTCCACTGAACCATACTGGGCTAACAAACTATCCAAGACCTAGAAAGAGAAAAATGTATGGCATGTAAATGCATAATTGACAATTTGATAGTTTAAACAAAGTTAAGAGCAAAACTATAATGTTTCAATATTAACAAGTTAAGAGCAAAAGCATGTTTTATATTTATTAGCCTTGAGTGTAGCATGAAATACATAGATATCAAACAAATTGTATAATTTAGAATTGAAGCAAGCACAGGACTTGGTAAGAATCCTTAACCTTTTACTCTACTGAGAAAAACAAGTCCATTTAACTGAACTCCACAAACATTTGTTAGTTTTTCATATTGGTCTTTATACAATCATATGGTAGAGAATTTTTCAGTAGAGATATATTGTAAGGAACAATAGCAACCATTCCGAAAGCACTGAAGGAATAAATTGCATGATGTGCTTTCTACAACTAACATTAATATAATAATAATAATCCTTGCATTTGATATAGCGCTTTTCACGTCTTCTAGACGTTTCAAAGTGCTTAACAGAATATGTTGTAAAGTGAATTGACTGTATGTATATTTGTGGGCAAAATGCGGCAGCCAATTGCGCACAGCATGTCCCACAAACAGTCGTGGATTGAAAATGACCAATTTATTATTGTTTTGTTTTTTTGGAGGGATTATTAGTAGGCGTGTGGAGTAAGGAAACTTGCCCAAGGTTTCGCCCTCTGCCTGGAATTGAACCCAGGTGTCTCACTTGCAAAGCGAGTGCTCTAACCACTGAGCTACAGGACTCCACTAAACACAATCCACAATTTGTCCAACTAGACCACTCTACCTACATTGGCTTGTAAAGTTGATCAACCATCAACAATCCTTGGATTACTACAGACCTGTCTGACTTCAAATCTACAGAATCACAGAGATGTATAACATACCAGAAGGCCTTTTGGCCCATTTTGTCATGTCAATGTATGCTCCTCTAAGAAGCCATTTCCCTGTACCCTCCAATACTATTCCTCTGCTTGTGATTGTTCAATTATTTTTAAAATGTCCCATTTTCCCTCTTCAGATGCAATACAAATCACAGGTGATACCTCACTCACCTAAGGTAATTGTTTTTAATGTTAGTCACGGGCAAGTATCTTAATATATTAGGCAGGGTCCTCGTGTGGTTAACCTTAAAAAGGTGAAAGGGCAAAGTAGACCAACTGGGATTTGAATCCACAACCTTTGACCATCTTACACCACAATCAGCTTCATAGAACCTATTTCTGCTTAGAACTAGGCTGCTTACAGTTGGTCTAATTTTGTATTTGTTTTTAGGAGTTACAATCGGGGAAAAGGGAAAGTATGAAATAACTTTGTAACAGGATAAATGCACCTATATTATTCTGGATTCAAAGTAACACTTCAAATTGCTCACCTACATTTTAGCATGTGAAGAAGAAACTTTGATCACTGAAAAGTTAATGTCTTTGGACAGGTTTAAAACAAGATGACAGATAAGACAGTATTTCGCAGTAATCATTTGACAGAAATAAAGCACTAGAACGGGGCATCATCTGAAGTGCAATCAGCTCAACCCAGTAGTTGCATCACAATTCTTTCTTACCTCTCACTTACTGCAACAAGTTGTTTTAAAGTCTCACTATAGTTTGCATAAACCATACAGGCAAGCTTTGAGAAGTGCTGAAAGTCAATAAACTCTTCCAATAATTCTACTTCAGGACAGACGCAATTTTAAATATCAAAATCAACCCACAGCAACAGGACTATATTATACAAGTAATAAACAAGGTATTCGCAATAAAGTACAATAAAACTCAACCACAAAGAACTGGAGTAAATATGCTGTGGGGTGCATGCACACAATGCTAAAACCACAGGGTTTTTCCCTGCCCAAAGCAAAGCTAATGTAAAATAGCCAATAAACCCAGCTATCCACCCCACATCTAGAAGCAATTTCATTCCCAAAATTACAACTCCATGTCTTATAGAACTCCTATGGCAGTGATGGGCCTTTCAAGCCATGTACAAGGGCACTGATCCAATCCTTCAAGGAAGTAGGGTTCAAACAAAGCCACAATTACAGAGCAGCATGTACAGTAGAACCTCACTAATCGGTTACTCAAGGGACTGGGCAAACGCGACCTACTTAGTGAGGTGACCTGACTACTGAAACAGGTTGGGTGATTCAGGTCACTGATGTAATGTTAAGGGCATTGATAATGGACAAGGATGATGAACATTCAACAACCATACTTTGCAATAAAGGCATTGTTACATTTGAAACAAAAGCTGTCATGTATTCAGCCTTCCTTTTGAGAATGTTCTGCCAATGCCATAGACTACAGCCAACTGTCTGTGACTTTTGCCCTCACTGTTTTTGGTTAAGTCCACTCTCTCACGTAAGGACAACTCCCTCTGTGGTGACATATTTACAGCTCTTACCAACAATCACTGAATCAAAACAAACAATGCACACACTAACCATGTGCTCTGAATATAGCACTTACCAGGAATTGGCTGCAAGAGCTCAGGTTAGGTCATGGACGCTGGGCGAAGTCGATTTCCCGCTCACGCAGCCGCGATCCCAACACTTCTGCCCGCGCAAGCGTGACCAGAGCCCATTCCACCCACAGCAGCAGTGTCGAGGAAACAACGCGAGAAGCCCAAGGCCTATAGCGCGCTAGTTAGTAGCTGAGGGGCTTTTTGTACCAGAGGAGGGCGCTGTAATGGCCACGATCAATGACCGTTGTACTGAAGCAGACAGAGGCTGTCTATTTAACATTGATAATGAAAGAGACTAAAAATGTGCCCGCAATTGTGAGGTGGCTGGATTACTTGAGGTGACCACAAACCAGGTTTCTATTGTATTCACATGCTGACAATCTGCGAGTTGACTTATCTGGATTGGGTTACAACATGGATGTTGTAATAATCCTTGTATTTGATACGCCTTTCACATTGGGAGATCTCAAAGCGCTTCATATTGCTTTGAGAAACAATGTAAAGAAACAATGTCTATATTTTGTAGATGATTGTGGCACACAGTAAAGTCCCACAAACAGCTTTGAAATGAATGACCAATTTTGTTTGGGGATTGTGAGCCTCAACACTGGGAGAAACACCCTTTGCTTTTTGAATAGATGGGCTGCTTGAGTCTAATAACCTTTCCAGTTTCTGAATACAATATGAAAGCTGAGTGCGTATCTGCATTCATGGGATCTTTAACATACACCTGAACAGGAAGATGTTCCAAGACATAGGCTTGACATGTCATCTGAAGAACGGACTCGTAACAGTGCAACACTCAACCACCATTGCATTGAAATATCAGTCTAGACACCCTTACACATGCGCAGCTAAGTGTGTGTCACACCCCACCCACCCAGGCATGACTCACGCGCACATGGGCAGCTTGGCAAATCACACAATACACACCAGCCAGATTGGCATGAAACTCACTAACCCTTGTAACAAATATTGCAAGAACATGCACCTCAAATCTGAGTTTTTCTTTGGTCAGCCAGTTCGCTGACATGTTGAGGAGTGGTGATGTATCACACCGCTTAACAAAACTATTCCCTGTATGGATTGCAGACTTGGAAACTGGCCAATAAGTCTTTTTTTAAAAAAAAACTGGAGGGAAAGAAATATTACAGAGGGAAAAAAATATGTAGTTTTAGAGCATGACCACAAGTTCCAATAACCCTGAATACAGAGCTTCACATCTCAGCCTGTGATATAGTCTGAAGCAGGTCTGCATTAGATTAAATAAATTGGAACAAGCAAATGTGTTCCTATCCAATTCACTCCATCATCCAAGCCCGACCATTTTTAATAGCTTTCCAATCCCAAAATCAAAGCCCTCTTCACTGAATCAGCAATAGATTTAATTGCCTTATGAATGCTTAGCCAGATCCTGGCGTGACCCATTCTAAATTTATGGATATCAAAATGACCAGCTAAGATTTCTGGCAGAATGACCAACAAAACAACACAAGGGGATTGTGTCATCATTCAGGAAATACTTAGATCTAGATCTTATTTATGGAATTGAAAGAATTCTACCACATACCTGACTGCAAACTAGTCGCAGCACACATACAAAAGACATAAACATTTTCCCCAATTGCCGTTCTAAAGTTTTATTGAAACTGATTACTGTTATGTTTTCACACCATTTCCTGATTTAAAAATGTATGTGGGCACTACACTCCAAAGTAGTGATTGAATGAGCGCTTTCTGATGTTCTCCCGACATGCAAGGAGCTACATCAATTGGAAGGATTATTATTAATTATAAAAATGTTAATCGATGGTATTGCAATGGCATTCAACTCAGTTCAAATACTCAGTAAAATGCCGAGCTAAATAAGATGTTTCAATCATCAAAGTGATTTGACAGAGCCAGTTATCTGCACTAATTGGATCTGATCCCGTTGAGAATAAGGAGACAGTTTGGATAATTGATTATCATGCCAAATAAAACTTAGCTTCAGTGCAAACCCAAATCCTCTTCCATTCAAGAGTAACTAAAGTACAATACTACCAGGCCTTCATTTACTCTGACTCTATTTCTGTAACGTTTTCTCTCAAAGAGTACAATTCCGCATAGGGCTTGAATACAGATTAAAAGGATACGCAGATACACATGAATTCTATAGACTCAAAAAGCCCATTTCCTTTTCATTCTCAACCCCATTTACTACTTTCACACCAAATTAGTCAATCCCTTCATTCAAAATTGCATTCAATTGCTCTCAAACTCATTTACACTGAAGGCTAATTTACAGGTCGTGTTGTACTAATCATTATGTATAAACATACATAGGAATGAAATTACAGGTGCCCTTAGTTATGTAATTAACCGATAAATCAGTCATCCTTTTCAATGGTTAATTACATAATTAAAATCACTTGTAATCCCCTCTGTATATAAATTTACCCATGGTTAACACAACCCATAAATTGCGCCTCAAGTCTGCTTTCACTGGCACTATTTCATAAGTATCACTTTTTTGCATTAAAAAAGTTCCACCTAACTTCCAGATTA